CCTATATACTTTTCTATTACCTCCATGTTGTTACACTAATTAGTCTTTTATTTATGCTACAACAAAGCTATAGTGACTATTGCTATAATAATTCTGTTATAGTAATCTTCTTCCTCTTTCCTACTCTTGCTATCAACAATTTATGGGGAACACAAACGAGCTCACTCCTATCTCTCGGACACGGCCTAACATCCCACACGCGACTTGGGTGCGGAACCATACAAACAAAAGAAAACTATTATAACAGAATTAATATAACAAATTCAAAATAACATTAGTCTAACAGATATAAATTATGATTACATGAGCAAACAAGAATTAGTAACAAATCTGCATATAAATCAACATAATAAATTTAAGCTACCATTACTTGACTTTGATACCAAGAGAGGAAATGGTCGATATAATAAGTAATACTCAACGAAAGCTTTTATTTAATTTAAAGAGAAGATATATACAAGCTTTACTTACAGAGTAATAGTAGACTAGATTGATAGTGGACTCTGACAAAGATAAAGGGAGATTCAGAGAGTGTGCATGAAAGACAAAAAAGAGGAATAATTTGAGGGTGCCCAACAGGCTATACCTGCACCTCTTTAAATAGAGACCGATTATGAAATCCGAATTTTAACACAACTTAAACTATTTATAACCTTTTAGTATTCACGACTTTAATAATTTACATTGACGTTATTTTTACTGTTTGTGACGTCACTGTTTACGTCACTTATTATTATAATTTGTTGGTGACGTCCTAGCAAGCGTTACTGTTTAAGATTCGACTTTATCCGATTATTTCCTGTAGATTAAATTATACAACTCATTACCGCTGTCTTGAAGGTTTATCTCCATACATCATTAAGCAAATCTTCATTAATTAAAATTGGGTGATGTGATTTTTTAGGAGGAAAAATATGTAGGGGATAAAATTCAACTTCATATGTGTATACAACTTTAAGAGTGAGGCCGTTTGTGTTCCTTGTAAATCGTTGACAATAAGAGTAGGAAATTGGAAGAAAATTACTATAGGGGAATTATTATAGCAACAATCAATATAGCATTATTGTAGCAGAATTAAAAGACAAATTATTGTAGAAACATGAAAGTAATAATGAAGCATACAGATCAACAGAAACTTTTCTGAAGAGCAAACATGGCAGTAAGCCTATTTAAATTTCATAATAAACATAAAGATGATTATGTTAAAAATATGGAAGAAATTAAGTTCTCAGATATTAAAAATAAATTACAAAACTGAGATATACTCCAGTATCCAACTAAGATGATATATAATATTGGAACTTTTAACTTTAAATCAAACTTAACAATTAAAACATTAGAAATGACAATTCCCTTGGATCAGAATGGGGATATCTTACAACTATTAACTGAAAGAAAAGTTTTAAAGACTTAAGAAAATTATAAATTTTTACATATTTGATTAGTCCAGGTGGCTTTAAAACATTAACTCTTCAAGGATTAAATGTCTCTTTTATGCTAGCATTAAGAGATGCTAGATGTTTAGATTTTATTCAATCATTAACGGCAATTATGCAATCTAACTTAAGCACTGGTCCATTTTATTTTAACTATTTTTTAAATTTATCAGTATCTTTAATGGATAAAAATATATTAGATGTTTTAACTTGTAATATTCAAACTTATGGTTACAATTTTAAAGATGGAGCAGAGATAATGACTTTTACTTATAGGGTATATTATAAAGTGATCAATACTTTATGTCAAGAAGCTAGGTTATATAATCATGAAGGCCAAACAACTTTAATTGAAACAAATATTATTAAAAATAAAATTAAAATTCCTAAAACCATTAAATGGTTAGAGATCTAGTTTTCAAAAACCTGACAATTGGAATTTGTGGTTCCTAAGAAACCAAAACTAAATAAATAGGTAAAACACATCTCTCAATCATCTGAAGGGGGTGTAATGATAACATTTTCTACAAGAAATTATTTTTCAAATTTCAAATTCGGAGCTTCATCAATATATTATACTCCTACTAGGAGGTTCGCTTCTTCTATCCCAGATAGGAGAAGGGGAAAAAAATCTATAATTGAAGGAATTAAAACTTCACATAACCAAATTCCACATGGAATTTATAGGCAAGATAATGAATCTTCCTTAGAGGAAGATAGAGATTCAACCTCATCCGAAATCAGATTTTAACTATAAATTTCTATCGATTTAAGCCCAAAAGAATTTATAATTAATAGAAAACAAATAAATGAAGAATTTTATCTTCCAAATTATGAGGAATTTAGAACTTAGTATTTTAAAACTATGAACCAAGAAGACCTTAAAAGGTATAAAGAAATGTTTTATCGTTATATAGAAAGGAAAAAAAGGATAATTCCTTTTGTTACATGGTTTTTAACCTATTATGCTCCACCCACTATGAATCAATTAAATGTAATTGAGAAATTTCAACATAAATGAAAAACATTGGAAGGCAAAAGTATAACTAGTTTCTATCCTCCCACTACGGAAGCTATAAAGCTAGCTTCCAATGAGGTAGGTGAAGTCATTTTAAATGCTTGCTACTCTTTAAAGGACACTAATCATATAGGAAGAGATATTTTCATAAAACAAAAAAATTACACTAATGTTTGTCTACCAGTGGTAGGACAACACTTGAGTAAAATTAAAAATTTAATAAAGGATCAAAGATAAGAAAATTTGTCTTTCCAATCTTTGAGAAATAAACCGATTGAAATTGAAAAGGTGAACATTAAGCCTCCAGTTGATACTTCAACATTTAACCTGCATAACAAAGTTGGAGATGAGTTCATAAATGAACTCAAAAACAAATTAAAAAATTTGTCATTAAATACAATTTCCCAGAAAGAGAGTGTAGAACAATCTGAAACTGAAGAAATCCAACAATTTGAAAATTCTTTACACCAAATGTAGTCTGAAGAAATAAATAAAATTGGGTATTCTAAATCTAAAAGACAAAATAATACATATTCACAAGCACTCCCTATGAAGGCTTATTATCACAGATCAACCCCTCAAGATATTTTATATGAGAAAAACTTTTTTATTGATCAACAATCATATGATGCCTCTTCTATTTATGAATGAAATATTGATGGCATGTCAAAATATTTAATTCATCAAATTTTGCATAAAATTTTAATGTATGCATTTGTCTATAAAGCTAATCGTAACACATACCATGCTACTGCTAAATTTATAACTGCAAGATTTACTGGACAATTAAGATGCAAGTGGGATAACTATTTAAGTTCAAACTCAAAAACATGAAATTTTAAATGCAGTAAAAATAATAACAGCTGAAGATGAGAGTATACTTACTCAAGAAGATGTTGTTTATACTTTAATACAAACAATATAAAAACACTTTGCAGGGACAAGCTTATAAAATACAGATAAGAGTAAAGAACTCTAAATGAATTTAAGATGTCCCACTTTAACACATTTTAGGTGGTATAAAGATGTATTTTTAACCAAGACTTCACCTACATTATTGGAAGCTAGCTTTATAACTTCCGCAGTGGGAGGATATAAACTATTTATACTTTTGCCATCTAATATTTCTCATTTATGTTGAAATTATTCAATTACATTTAATTGATTCATAGTGGGTGGAGTATAATACGTTAAAAACCATGTAACAAAAAGAATATCTTTTTTTCCCTTTCTATATAATGGTAAAACATTTCTTTATACCTTTTAAGGTCTTTTTGGTTAAGAGTTTTAAAATACCAAGTTCTAATTTCTCATATTTAGGAAGATAAAATTCTTCATTAATTTGTTTTCTATTAATTATAAATTCTTTTGGGCTTAAATTCATAGAAATTTATAGCTGAAATCCTATTTCGGATGGGGTTGGATCTCTATCTTCTTCTAAGGAAAATTCATTATCTTGCCTATAAATTCAATGTAGAATTTGATTACGTGAAATTTTAATTCCTTTAATCATAAATTCTTTTCCCCTTCTCCTGTCTGGAATAGAAGAAGTAAGCCTCCTAGTAGGAGTATAATATGCTGATGAAGCTTCAGATTTTAAACTTGAAAAATTATTTCCAGTAGAAAATTTTANTCTGGAATAGAAGAAGTAAGCCTCCTAGTAGGAGTATAATATGCTGATGAAGCTTTAGATTTTAAACTTGAAAAATTATTTCCAATAGAAAATTTTATCATTACATCCCTTTCGCATGATTGGGAGATGTGTGTTACCTCTTTATTTATTTCTGGGAACTCAATTTCTTCCATATTTTTAACATAATCATATATTTATTATGAAATTTAAATAGGCTTAATATCATGTTTGTTCTTTAGAAAATTTTCTGTTGACCTATATGCTTCACTATTACCTTTATGTTGTTTCAGTAATTTATCTTTTAATTCTGCTATAATAATGCTATATTGACTATTGCTATAATAATTCCACGAATATAGATAGATATGAAAGAGAAAAATTTTTAATGTTAATCACACTCTTAAAATTTAGGAGTTTTTCAATTTTAGTTTTATTTTACTTTTAAAGAGAATGGTGGAATAGATAGTCTGGTAAAATTGATAACAAATAATTTTTTTTAGCAGATTTAAATCTAAATAAATCCATATAAAGAGGATCTGCCTCAAAAGTTCCTTTAGTTCTGCTATCACCTTTAGGCCATTCATCGGACCTTGAACGCTTTAGCTTGGGCGCCTATAAAACTTTGGACCAAATTATAACTAGGTGGGCTCGCCCAAATCACGTAAACCGGGTACAACCCAGACCACCGCCATGACCAGTGAATCCAGTGGCTCTGTAATTTTCTTCCACCATCCATACGTATCTCTCTGATAATCTGAACGAGTGGTCCTAAATCATGCTCTTTAGAATTGTTTCTTCCTTTTAACCATTTCGTTAAACACAAACACTCCTATAAATGTGTGAGTTCACAACAAATTCTGATTTGAGGTGCAGAGGTGAATCAAGAACAAGAATCGTAATTTAGATCCAAGTAATGGCCATGCGAGCTCTTCAGGCGTCCACATCCTACAGTGTTGGCTTTGGCGTGTCCTTCGCCTCCCCTCCCCGGCGTTCCAGTCACCGCCGTATCACCCTTGCCCAAAGTAATATATAATTTTGATACTCGTTCATTCAAATCCCTAAGTTAACGATTTTCAGTTTATAATTTTCATTGTCGTGTTTTCTGTTTGTAAGATTCAGTAGTTGTTTGTGATTTCATTCTCCAAAAAAAAAAAAGCAGGGAAATGAGGAGTTGAGAATGTGGTACGGTTGTTTAATTTATTGAAGAATTTGATTTTTGTGTTTTTCTCACAGTGGAACCAACAGACAAGTCTGTTGAGATTATGAGGAAGTTCTCGGAGCAATATGCTCGTAAGTCGGGAACGTATTTCTGTGTGGACAAAGGAGTCACTTCCGTTGTTATCAAGGTATTCCGTTTATTTGTGTATTGTTGAAATGTGGCAATTCATATGCTTTTTAGGTAAGTTGCAATTCATATATANATTTTTAATGTTAATCACACTCTTAAAATTTAGGAGTTTTTCAATTTTATTTTTATTTTACTTTTAAAGAGAATGGTGGAATAGATAGTCTGGTAAAATTGATAACAAATAATTTTTTTTAGCAGATTTAAATCTAAATAAATCCATATAAAGAGGATCTGCCTCAAAAGTTCCTTTAGTTCTGCTATCACCTTTAGGCCATTCATCGGACCTTGAACGCTTTAGCTTGGGCGCCTATAAAACTTTGGACCAAATTATAACTAGGTGGGCTCGCCCAAATCACGTAAACCGGGTACAACCCAGACCACCGCCATGACCAGTGAATCCAGTGGCTCTGTAATTTTCTTCCACCATCCATACGTATCTCTCTGATAATCTGAACGAGTGGTCCTAAATCATGCTCTTTAGAATTGTTTCTTCCTTTTAACCATTTCGTTAAACACAAACACTCCTATAAATGTGTGAGTTCACAACAAATTCTGATTTGAGGTGCAGAGGTGAATCAAGAACAAGAATCGTAATTTAGATCCAAGTAATGGCCATGCGAGCTCTTCAGGCGTCCACATCCTACAGTGTTGGCTTTGGCATGTCCTTCGCCTCCCCTCCCCGGCGTTCCAGTCACCGCCGTATCACCCTTGCCCAAAGTAATATATAATTTTGATACTCGTTCATTCAAATCCCTAAGTTAACGATTTTCAGTTTATAATTTTCATTGTCGTGTTTTCTGTTTGTAAGATTCAGTAGTTGTTTGTGATTTCATTCTCCAAAAAAAAAAAACAGGGAAATGAGGAGTTGAGAATGTGGTACGGTTGTTTAATTTATTGAAGAATTTGATTTTTGTGTTTTTCTCACAGTGGAACCAACAGACAAGTCTGTTGAGATTATGAGGAAGTTCTCGGAGCAATATGCTCGTAAGTCGGGAACGTATTTCTGTGTGGACAAAGGAGTCACTTCCGTTGTTATCAAGGTATTCCGTTTATTTGTGTATTGTTGAAATGTGGCAATTCATATGCTTTTTAGGTAAGTTGCAATTCATATACAGTCTTACTATTTAGTTTACTTTGGAAAAATTGTTCCCTCCATTTGCTTTAGAGTTTTTAGACAGATTGACTATATTTTGAACAAATAATCCTGTCCTATTTGTGTTTTTATACCAAATTTGTTGGAATTTTGCAATTTATAATCTTCTCACTGACATGTGAATGGTGTTATGTTTACACCAAAAACCCCGAGTCTTACAACAGTTAAATTTTGACATATTTGAGATAATGAAAGCTACCATTCCATATTATTGTAATTATGGAAGTAATGATGGGAAGATATATATTTGTGTACGACATATTGGAACACATAATTGTACATGGAAATCCTCCATGTCTCCGATTCAGAATCACAAGATTGCTGCCTTTTATTTTCTTTTGAGAAATATCACTGGTTACTACTGCTCTAACAGAAGATGCATACCCTATTGCATATTGTTCAATACTTGGTTGAGTAAGTTATGAAATCATATTTGCCTAAGTGTAATAGATTTGATCACGATTACAAGAACTTAAAAATGATACAGGGCATCGCTTTGGGCTTGTCTTTGAATTTACCAGATCTATGGTAACCAATTTTAGAATCGAAATTAGATTTTCCAGAAGGTAATACTAGGATCCGTAGGTGATTGGAGATTTATACATATCTCTAATGTCCATGGTATCAGTGTGATCCTTAATAGATTAATAGGTGTCATTATACTTACAAAATCAAAAGCTTGGCTTAATGACATGATGCTTCGAAGTTTGCCCAATCAGTCCAATATTCCTTAATAACAATTCCTTTTGAATATATATATTTGAATCCCTTTTTTTAGGGACTGTGGGATTGACTTGTGTTGATAGCACATATGGATGAGAAATTCATATATCATGCTTGAAGCAGTTGTCTGATACACTGATGGAGTTAATATTACATTTGATGTTTTAATTTGTTACTTTCTTCTGAGTTCTCTCTTGAAATTCATGGTTTATCTTGTCCTTGCATGTAAAATTTATCAATTACTTAACACTAAAGGAACTCTTTCGGAATGTACTAAGGGGTAGTCAGTGATTGAAGACTTGTATATTTCTCTAATTTGAATGGAATCAAATTCTATTGGTGTCCATTATACNTCATGTAAAATTTATCAATTACTTAACACTAAAGGAACTCTTTCGGAATGTACTAAGGGGTAGTCGGTGATTGGAGACTTGTATATTTCTCTAATTTGAATGGAATCAAATTCTATTGGTGTCCATTATACATAGAAATTCAAAAGCTTGTCTTAATGATGTGATGCTTCTAATTTAGCGCAATTCCGTTTGAAAATATATATTTTAATCCTTTTTTTGAGGGACTGTGGGAGTGACTTGAGTTGATAGCACATATGGACCTGAAATTCTCTTTTTCATGCTTGGAGCAGTTGTCTCATAAACTGATGGTGTTATTGTTAGAATTTGTTATTTGCTTTCTTCTGAGTTCTCTCTTTGAATTCACTGTATATCTTCTCCTTGCACGTAAAATTTATAAATTACTTATACTAAAGGAACTCTTTCGGAATGTACTTAGGGATTAGCAGACCACAAAGATACATTGGGTGCTCCACTTTGCCCTTGCAGGTAAATGTTTAGTTTTTTGACCATTAACTACGGTGTAATTCTTGCCTTCGATCGAAATTCCATGCTAATATCAAATAGCTTTATAGTACATCTCCTTTTACAACTTATGCTCTTTGTTGGGGCCATTTTTGTTTCAGGCATTATGATGACAAAGCTGCTGAAGCACAACAGGGCTTTTGGAACTGTCCATGTGTTCCCATGAGAGAGAGGTAAAATGTATAAAAATTTCTGATTTCGTTCCATTGCTCTGCATGATTGGCATGATGAATGTTCATCTTATCTTTCTGAGGATGGTAGATGGATATCATGAGTTATTCACCAATCACCAAGCATTTTTTATTCTTCAATTGGTGTGTTGTTCATTTAAAATAAACTCAATGACTTCTTGCTCTGGGCTCTAATATAGTTGGAGCAGACATGGAATTGATTATTACTAAACACAGTGCATAAAAGAGAGGGAATTCGTCGAGTGTAGCAAACCTAGGATACTTAAGCAACAGATCATTGATAATTCTTTTAACTTGNAAGGAATTTGTCGAGTGTAGCAAACCTAGGATACTTAAGCAACAGATCATTGATAATTCTTTTAACTTGTCTTGCATGTTCTAATCCTACAATTGCCTTTGTAGGAAGGAGTGCCACTGCATGCTTTTTCTCACACCTGATAATGATTTTGCCGGCAAAGAACAGGTAAACGTTATATCTTCCTAGCTTTGATTTCACTGAATATAGTATGAACTTTGGTCCTACCTATAACATAAAATATGTAAAGCAGATAATACCAATGCTTTGATTTTGCATGTACACCTGCTTATTACTTTTAACTGAGAGGTGTTGCTACTTAAATCGCATATTCCTCCATTTAAAGATCTCACAGCAATGGAAGAGATATTTGGAAGGAAGTGGTTTAGGGTGCCTGATTCTTGATAGATTCTTTTTAGAGTGAGTGTATGTGCGCACACCCCAGAGAGAGAGAGAGAGAGAGAGAGAGAGACCATGTGAACTTATGTTCATTTACTAATGCATAGTGGTTGGGCATGTTATTTGGGGAGGTTCATTACTGCTTCCTTATATGCGGCTTTTGCTATGCAGGCCATTTCTTTGGAAGAAATCAAGGAAACAACTGCAAATATGTAATGCTCCACCATATCATAGTCACCTTCTTGAGTAGTCCTAGATTGTATGTAAACTTGTATTCTAATCCAGAGGTCAATCTACTTATGTTGCAATAATCCTTTTTCCTTTTTTTCTTCCTTTCATTACGTTGTCTTTGGCTTGCTTGGTTTTTTGGCTGCATATAACTGGGATTTGGATTGCTGCTTATTGTCCCTTGCTCCATATTGTCGTCACTTTGTTGTCGTGGTTCCTTCTCAACATTTGTACTTGAGGGAAATGGGTAGCAGGGAGGGACAGCATTCCTTATGGATTCACTCTCCAGCAGTCCGACCGATAGTTTGTAATGTCTCTCATGCTTTTGTAAAAACGATTTCGGGAGACTAAAACTGAANCGAGGGACAGCATTCCTTATGGACTCACTCTCCAGCAGTCCGACCGATAGTTTGTAATGTCTCTCATGCTTTTGTAAAAACGCTTTCGGGAGACTAAAACTGAATGTACCCGGGGGCTGCCCAACAAATCCGGAGATCTTAGGCTAAAATATGAAGTTGGGTCATATTAATAGGCAACAATTATTAAAATATATTCATTTAAAAACTATTTTTCTAATTTTTTGAGATGCAAAAATATTGATTAAATTTTGATATTCAAGTTTTGTTAATAGATATTTTTCAATAAATAATATAGTTAATCAATTTAATATTTCTTGTGACATAGTTGATCAGAGATAAGATTTTATTAATTTAAGTTTTGAAAAACTTCTCTCCACTAAAACAATTTTTACCGATATTGTTAACAATATTTTAAAAATTATATATGCATTTTGAAAAGAATCTAATCGTTTTATATAAGTTAGGGTTTTAGCAATCAACTATCAAGATTCAAGTNATATTTTAAAAATTATATATGCATTTTGAAAAGAATCTAATCGTTTTATATAAGTTAGGGTTTTAGCAATCAACTATCAAGATTCAAGTATTTAAGTTTCTGTCAAAAAATGAGATATTTTAAATCAACAATAAAATCAAAAATATGAAATTAACATATTAAAAATTTTAAGCACACCAAACTTCTAAAACTTTTATAAAATTCTAATAAAAAATGAGAGAGCAATTGGATAAACTAGTTTTATTATAATAGATTGAGCCCAAAAAATTCTGACCTTTGAATCTTGATCACTATCAATTAATTGTTGGGTTTTTGAACTAAAAGAGATTAGAGAATAGAGAGTTTTGATGTTCTTTCTTTGTTTAGATTCAAACTTTATACTTCACAGAGAGAGAGAGAGAGAGAGAGACAGAAAGGGGCATGAGGGAGTGATGTTAAACCGACACTGTGGTTTGTGAGTGAATCCTATAATGATAATAGTTGATAAATTTGTGCGAGAGAGACGGAGTGATGTAGAGAGATTTGCCTAATTCTTTCATAGATGTGAGAGAGAAAAAAAAACATCTAGTCATCTACCTTCCTTGTTTCAAAAGTCTAGCCTCTATTATAACTGGCAGGTGAAAATGCAATTTAATCTCAAATGTGACTAAATGTCTTCAATGACAAAGACCAACTTGTCCCGAGACGTCACACATTGTAAATTCATTGTCAAGCAAACTTTTAAAACACAATTAAACTATCTCTGCCTTTAAAACATAATTAGACTCTCTCTCTCTCTCTCTCTCTCTCTCTCTCTCTCTCTCTGGGGGTTTTCAATGGGGCATCTATGAAAACAAATTACATGGGTTTTGATGCAAAAATCACGGTATGGTCTTAATCACATAATTCGAGTAAACATCCGACGGTCTAAGTGTGAATTCATGTTTTGGGAGCGAATTCTCTAAAAATTTATATTTATATTTTATAACATTTATAAAATTAATTTTTTAATTTGTAAATTTGACTAATTTGTCCTATTATTTATTTATATGCTTACTCATTATTATCCAACTTTCAATTTGAAAAGTATTGACCCATATTTAAAGATACATATAAAACTATAATTATATTTGTAAACTATAATTATCATTTTAGAACATTATAATCAACATATATTTAAAAATTAAATAGTTTGTCATACAATTGTGCATGAAATTGAACTTTTTATATTTTATCTTTATTAATTTTTATAAATGAATGTGTTGACATGCATATATTTTCTTGCTCTCAAAATGTTTTCACCCTCAATTTGTTTTAAATTTTGTCTTTTTCGCACTTTTGCTTTGCTATGCATTAAGAGTGTTCACAATACTCTACGGGTAGAAAATATAGTCTTTNCGCACTTTTGCTTTGCTATGCATTAAGAGTGTTCACAATACTCTACGGGTAGAAAGTATAATTTTTTGTTTTTTTATCTGATACTTTATGGAAGAAATTTTTTTTGACCTACCCTACCCGATTAGGTGTGGTATTTCTATCAAATTTTCTACCCGATTAATTGGATAAACACTTTTGTAACTAGGGTAAACACAATTTTGAAAGCTTAAAAAAAACAGAAAAGGCAAGAACGATACTTGAAAGTTAGGGTTTTAAGATTCATTAACTTGATGTTTAAAAAAAAATCAAATTTGTAGATGAAGGTCTGAAGATGAAAGCCACCAAATTGCGCCCAAACAAAGACAGACAGATAGAGAAAGAGAGAGAGAGAGAGTACATGGAGAGATCGGGGACTGAACAATGAAGGCCTGAGTTATGGAGGTAGAGGCTTGAGCGATGAAAGCCGATAGATGTAAAAGGGGAGGAGAGAAATGGAGTGAGGCGCTCGCTTAGTCAGTAGACAATAATGTTGGTTAGTAATTTGGATTTTTTTTAGTCTATATATATATATTAATGCACATATGGTAGGGTAGGGTAGACATGCAAAAATTGATGGATATTCTGCATTTTTATCCAATTTAATCAAAAAATCAAAAAAAATTCTGTATTTCTACCTAATTTTTGTAACTAACTGTTCAATATGATAAAAAATTACGACAAATCAAAAATTTGAACACCAAATAGTTATCATGTTTCCCCTCATCTAAGATATGATTACATGGATACCTTAGAATTCTTATTAAAAATGATGATACTCAGAATGATTCCCGAGCTGGATCTCGGGAACAGAGGTCAGGTTAGTTGAGCTCAGAAGGTCAAAGCTATGCAGAGCTTAAAAAATCAGAGCTAGAGCTCCCCTTAAAGCGAGATAATAAGCTGAAACAGGGAGGAGACAACTGTATTACAAAGAACTCGAAAGACGGTTTGAAATAACACTCAAGACACAAAAATCCTCAACCAACTAAGATACGCTCTTAAGACTAAGGAGAATTCATTGNAGACGGTTTGAAATAACACTCAAGACACAAAAATCCTCAACCAACTAAGATACGCTCTTAAGACTAAGGAGAATTCATTGGATAGATGACAAGGATCACGGATCGGATCCCATAGATTAAGGGATACCCCTATAAATACTATGTAACGCTCCCAACAGAGTGGCAAGAACCCTAGTATCACATCGTACATTTTGTAACCTTTTTTGATATAGTAAATAGTGAAGGAATGAGCAAGAATCTCCATTGAAGAGTGGATTAACCGAGCTCTTGAACCGGTGAATCACTATATTTCTACTGTGTTAATTCTCTAACTCTCCAATAATTCTCAGTATCACAACTTCGAGCCTAGTAACTTAGATCTCAATAATTTCAAGATTATTTCTTTCATTTACTTGTCATTATAAAATTATATCACGTTAAAATACGCCATCAAAAAATATGATCACATCATCAAAATTTGAGATTGACAGGTGAATCCTATTACGAAAAATTAAACATCATGACAATGCAATTATTTTTTCGTACCTTTGGGGTTTTGGAGATATATTGTGACAAACACCAAGGGGTCGATATGTNTTGACAGGTGAATCCTATTACGAAAAATTAAACATCATGACAATGCAATTATTTTTTCGTACCTTTGGGGTTTTGGAGATATATTGTGACAAACACCAAGGGGTCGATATGTAATTAATCCTACTATTGACTCCTCCCTCATTCTTGGCTTCTATGAAACTGCCACCATTGTTTCCAGTCCAGTCCCCTATCTTTTTACTGCCAGAAATGATGAACCCTCCCTCGTCCTGCTTTTGATCCACCACGAATCGTCTGATACACAAGAAAATCTGTTTATATACTTAGCATTCAGTGACACACACGCCTTCAAAGCTTATCAGGCAGCTAGTGAAACTCGTACCATTTTTGGGTTTGCGAGAGACAGAGATATGTCGAAACCCCGGATCACCATCACCCTTGGGCGCTCTGGTCAAGTACATCATTCCTCATTTTTCCGATCAATTTCTCTCTGAAAAACTTGTATTTCTGATTATCAGCAAGGGTTAGGGTTAGGGTTAGGGTTGTTTTTTTTTTTTTATGAGCTTCATGTCGGGGTTTGATTAGTTTATTGTTTTTGTCTATATATTGTGCTTTTTTTTTGGAAGTAATTGATACTATACTCTGTATTAAACTGAATTTATTTGTTAATTGTTAAGGCTGAATGTGGTTTTTTTTTCTATTTTCGATGTTTAGAGGGTGGTAAAGGGGGCATCGGTCAAATCTGCTGGTTCTCGTGCCGAGTCTCAGCCGCTATCGGGAAGGAAAAGATCTGCGAGAGAGATATTTGAGAGCAATGCTGATAATTCTTCTTCGTTTGCTAAAACGCGGTCTGTAGTTTGCTTTTTGTTGTTATTCCTTTCTATATTGATTGCCAGAGTTTATTTACCTTAGGCTTGATTTGGTATTTGGAATGCATGATGGGGGAACTATGATTTCCAATTTTAAGCAGTAGCTAAGAATTTTTCTCTAATTCTTTAGTTCTTCTCGACATCTAAATGGAGGGTTTAAAAGTATTGTATTATTATTTGCTAGATATATTTCATGCTGAATTTTTCAAAATTTGAGTGAAAGCATCAAATATTTTGTCAATTTATCAACCTGTTCTAGGGGTGCTAAATATTTTGTTAATTTGTCTGAGAAAGTCTGGTTCCTTTTCCTCTGAGAAAATCTATTTCCTTTTTTCATACCCCTGCCTCCTTTTCAGAATTAGGACCAGATGGTTTTTGTTATGAAATTTTGAGGGTTTAGCAGTCATGATGATGATTTTTGAGTTGATGCTGATGAATTGAATCCCACTCTGTCAGGCTTCGAGGGGATAGAATTACAAGGAGTGCAGGTGGCAGAGGATTAAACGGTAATGACTAAAGTAGTAACATTTGACAAAACTTACTTTCTCTTTTCTTGATCAGTTTTTAATTGCTTTACTTGTACGGAATTGGGTTTTTGAAGATGCACAGATTGGCCGAAATGACCTCCGGTTGAAACTCATGCGCAAACGAACATCTAGGAGAATACAGCGTGAGATTGAAGAACGTACAAGGATTGAGCTACGTGAAAAGATGTCAAGACCTATCCAATCTACGGTAGGGCCAGAAAGGGGTCTTTTGAGGAACCTACCCCCTACAAGAGGGAATGATGATTTCCTACCCATGGACTCATTAAGAAGATCTTATGCTTCTCAGACCTCGGATGGACTAACTTCTAAATCCTCAGATAGATTTCAGAAAGCTAATATAGAGATGTCACCACCAAGAAATGTCAATCAAGTGCACCGAATGTCATCAGGCAGGCCAATTGATGATACAAGAACTGGACAACTAATGTGCAGTGATCTCTTGCAACCTTCTAGGCCAAAGGATCCTGCACCTGTGACCATGAGAGCCACTCTTGATGCTGGCAAGCCAGCTTCCAAACTTCCACCAGCAGGTCTCAGTGTGCCGAGAAGCTCATACCATGTACAGGCCCACTTTCTGCTATTTAAGATATTCTTGCAATAACATTTGTTGGCTTATTTCACTATAAGGCTAGATCAGATACTCTCGACTTCCATGTAGATAGGGAGGCATAGAAAGAAAAAACAAATAAGTATGTAGGTTTCAATAGTCCAGAGGACATTAGAATTTATAAAGTTGAGCTCAATTTCAACCTCACAATTTGAGGCATAATTTAGCTTCAAGGTTGCTCCTTGAAGCAAGCCACAGGGATGTTCAAATTAATGATGAAGAGAAATGGTTTGCTGAAGACACATTGTTGAGTTACCTGTAATGATTATCTTTCACTTAAATTAAGGCATAGTATGATATCATCGTGCCTTAAACATCTGAACAGAAAGTTATAGAATAAAGGGTTTTATTTTCGTATGTAGATTTGACATTACGGTGTGCTAAAGAGAGCAAAATTGTAGAATCTGAATTGCAGATGATAAAATTATGTTGTTTTGTATGTCGTGGACTTATGCTAGTTATTTCAGTCTTGTTATGTTATGGATGAAATAACTATCTAGCATTCTGGTGGTCATCACTTCTTCGCAAATGGAGTGGGAGTCTTTGATATGTATCGAGCATTTTTAATGAAGAGTTCAACTAATTTTGTTTTGGCTTGTGAGATTTGTGTTCTCTTTAAGTATTCCTCTGGTCTAATGCTGAAATTGGCAACATGTTGCAACTTGATCCCCCAAGTGTTTTCTTGAAAGCATCTTTTGTAACATCTAAGCCTGATAATCCAAAGATTACCTGTTTTACATGTTTGTTGAGTCAATTCTTACATAGTTCCTTAGTTGACCTACTCTGCTCTTGCCTCTTTTGGTTGGATAGTCTAATTCAAATATCTAATTACAGTTGCATTTGCTAGAGGTGTGTTACTCAGCTGTATTTTTATCCTTTTTTTTACAGATCTGTAGTTATGTTTTAAAGTAACATCTTTATGCATCCATAATTCCATATACATGTTCTAGTGATGATATTTCTTTTTTGCAATTCATAGGGTGAACAACCTCCCACGGTTAGTAGCTTATTGCACTCACTTGGTTTGGGGAAATACGCCATTCATTTTCAAGCTGAGGAGGTAAGTAACCAACTTTTATCAAACTTTTGATAAGAAAGAGGATGGGTGAGTGATGTTAGAAATGCAGGAGGGTGGGGAACAAGAAAGATGCTCTACAATCTGGGTGCATCCCTTTTCCGATAAATTTTAATGCGGGAGAATCAGATGCTATGCTGATAATTGTTTTTTGCCCAATAAAACACTATCAATTGCCATGTAGAACATTGGTCCATTGTGAGTCTGTAACCCTGATTGCAGGTACTGACTATTGGCTTTAGGATATATATAGAAATACATTAAGTTGGCTAAACTGAAGGACCTTGAGTTTGGTATTTCTGGCCAATCTGATTGCTTAAGGAACCTCTTTGGGCTTGGAAGATGTTCTTTGAGGGCCTAAATGTGAAATATATTAGGTGCACAAAAAGAATGTTTTCTAAAAGCATGTGCGACGGCATGGTTAATTTTGGGGGAGGGGGAATAAATCCTCAATCCACCATGGACTTGCCTCTGTAACGCAACATATCTTACTTACACTGTCTTCAGTGATAGGTGTCTCAATCTACTGCTTAATCCCGTGCCTGCATTATTGTAATGGCAGTGGTCTTCAAATATTTGTAGTTTTTGGTCATTATAATTTTCCTTAGGAATTATAGCTATGGATTAATGGAAAATCCTAACAAACAAAATGTGCAGCAAAGGAAACCAAAAAGGAGAACAAAAGAAGAATGTGTATAGATTCTATCTGTTTTGAGGGTTTTAGTTTTTCTGAGGGGGTTCCCTTGGGTTTAATGGTAATACTAATACTTGCAAAAAAATGGGTTTTCTGGTAATGATGTGTTCAAAGCCAAAATTATCATTCTAAGATTCACATAATTTAATTGGGACATGTACTCTTTTATGTTGTAGGTGGACATGGCCGCACTGAATCAAATGGGGGATCGTGACCTGAAAGAGTTGGGGTTACCAATGGTATACTGGTTTTTGCCTTATCTACAGTTCTATAACTTCTGATGTCATTATAGCTTTTTGTATTGCTTGGTATACAATATAAATTTTATCACTTCCATGATATATTTTACTTGTTTAGATAGTTAGGTGCTTCTTATTTGACCAATTAAAATGCTTTGATTTTGTTTGTTTAGGAAATAAGAATCACGATTAATTGAGAAAGTAAGGGATAACTAGATAGAAGAGAGTGTCGTAATGCCAGATTGCAGAGATTCCTCTTATCATGTGGGGTTGCTATTGTACTTCAAATGCTAATCCTCATCTAGGGGGACGGCCCCTCCAAAAACATAGGTCAGCGTGTGTGATTAACATTTGAATGAAACCACCAGTGACGACTGGACCAAACCATTTTTCTTGATATCTAATGGGATTCTTAGAATAGTTTATGCTATCAGTGATACTCTTGCTCCAACCGATGATTAACATTGTTAATTGAAACTTTTAGCTCTATTGACACAAAAACACAGCCGTCTGAATACCTTGGCAATGCTAAAACCTTGACGCTGCTATGGACAGCTCTGAGTTTTTTTTTTTTAAAATCATACTTGTATATCTGCTGGACAGTTTATAGGTCTTGGCACACATGCTGAGTTTTCCATGTACGTTTATACACCTGCTTCTGCTGGGGGGAAATTTTATCCACGTACAGTGCCACGCTTGGTTTTACTCCCATTATCACTCTATGCCTGTAGTTTCGTATCAGATGCGTAGTTCTATTTATGTAACCTACATGGTAGCCAATAGATGAAACCACTCTTTGCTAACTTACATACTTGAAGTGACATATCTCTATTAGTTTGGGTTTTCTGATTTCTAAAATTAAATACTCTCTTACAATGGCTTCTTGATTTGCAGGGACCAAGGAAGAAGATTCTCCTCGCCATCTTGTCCTTGTCTAAACGGAAACCATGATAACTACATGCTACATGAGGCGAACGCATTGTAGAGTTTTATGTAATTGTGGCTGCAAATCCAGAATGTAGTTGTACAGGCCAGAATGCATCCCTTTTTAAATCTAAAAAGTCTGGAAAGTTGGCTGTGTTTATTGTTTCGCATATTTGCAGTTGTTTGGGCACTGAATATCAGTAACCGTAGAATTTATATAGAGATGAAGTGGACTACGTTTATTTTATAAAAGAAGATCTTTTAGTGGTTATGTATATAGCTTTATTAATTAAAGATCTAAAATGTTGCTTCATTTTGGAAGTGGTGTTTGGACTTGGCTATTACCATTGCAATATAATGTTATGTTGGATAAAATATGTTAAAAATGTGTATATATTCACTTGTTGATGTTCATTAAACAAATGAAAATCATTTTTCTTGTTTTAGCTAATTGGTCCAAATTATAGTTAAGGGTCATAATAATCCTAGTTTTTCTACTTTATCGTCTTTAGCCTCGGATGAATAATCAAATTCTTTATCAGTCATGCACGAGTTAAATCTGAATTACCCGACCAGTAAAGTTCATCCAATTAACAAGGTTCGAATTCAAGTCAAATGTTGAATTGTTTTCTATTTTATTTGCATTTGGACTTAGTTTATAAACTTAATCGATGGTAGGCCTAATAAATATTAGGATCCATTAACAATTCATTCATGATTTTAGACAATCTGTAATTCAAATAAACCTAGTTCCCAACAACGTTGTCTCAATCTTAATAAGCTCTAACAGTAGGAGTACTAGGTGGAGAAGACGCCGAACCACCACGACCCTTCTTTCCACAATCGTTCCCATTCCTTGACGCCAAAGCAACCAAAAACCTATTGTTGGCTTGCTCACGGCTGATCTTGACCACCGACGATGATGATATGTTCTTGCCGCAGGGATGGTCCGCTGGAAATCTATGTTTCAGGCAAACCTTAATCTGGCAAACCTTGCAAGTGCAAGTGTTCGAGAACGTCAATATCTCTCTGCACCGCCGGACTGGGCACGTCGGTTTCTTCTTCTTCTTCGGGTCACAATCTCCGGAATTCTCGTGTTTCTCCAGCATCAACTTTTCATCTTCTCTGTCGTGACCGGTGGTTTCGATTGACATGGAACAAATTTCACAGACCAATACCTTCCGGCTATTGTAGTCCGATTTGGGGCATTCATGAGACTTGTATGATCGGTGCTCCACACAGAAAACCTACAGATATTGTATGAAAACCACATTATTTCAATTTCCTAGAGTTTCATCTATAAAAAAAAAAAATAAAGTTCAAATTCAAATTTGAGAAAGAGAAACTCAATTTGAAATTTACCCTGCGACAAGCATCGCAATTAAATGGGAGAAAATCGAGTTGATTGCATTCCGGGTGTTGGCAGTGCATTCCTAAATCTGGAAAAGCTTCTGTTCCTCCTCCTCCTTCCATTTCTCTCTCCTCTCTGTCTAGGATTGGTTTCTGTTTCTTCCTTTCCTCTGGGTTTTGATCTAAAGGCGGATCTGTAGGTGCAAATAAAAGATTTCAAGAAGAAGAATGATTTCTTGAGCCACCGGTCTTTGGTTTATAAATGGGTTGTTGTTGTGGCTTGGGGACGAAGCCAAAACCAAACGGTACGAAACTTCCTGTCCCCCCTGCCCACGCGGTGCCACGGAGGATTTACGTCCGCCCTTACTCAGACTAATGGGCTTGCCTGTTCCCGACTGGTCTAGAAAGTCCTGGAAGGCTCAAATTTCTGTGCTATGGCCCTGGCCTAATGGGTTTTTAGGAAAGAGGATGAGGTTGAACTCACAATGAGTAGAAATGAATTTTTATCACTAGACCACTTCCTCACCTCACAAACATGACCCATCAACATTGCATAATGTGCGAGAATATAGAACTGTAAACCTTGACAAAACCCAACACCGGGTATCCAACCAAGGTTTCGGTCCACCGGTTACTCGACTCCTTTGTCTTGGCCCACAATATAAGCCCATGAAGTGCCCANAATATAGAACTGTAAACCTTGACATTTGGGTTGTGGCCCATAGGTTGGTTCCAAAGCCAGGTGGCCAATGAGCTGAGGACTGTCTTGGCCCACAATATAAGCCCATGACATGTTTTCTTGTTCGCTCCACTTGTAAGCCCGAGTTACTTGTCAGACAGGCTGATAAAATTCAAAAAAATAAAAAAGACACACCCATTAGGGTCGAGCCGATGAATAACCCACCAAATGCCCATAAGCTCGAAATCACCCAATGTTGACCACACTAAGAGAAACGAAAGCACAGGTAATACTAGTTGACGAAGTGGCGTTAAGGATCTGTAATGGTACGAAAAGAGAGGTTATAATGATATGATCTACATCTGCACCACTCCTTGTAGAGTAGATTCCACATCCAACCAAGACTTTGACCAGAAAACGAAAGAACTCTCACTATTGCCAATAGGCCAGTTGGGCCGTGAGCACGGTGAAAACGGGCTTTTCCAAAACGTCAAGTCAAACCAAGTCAATATAGAATAAATAAATGACCCAAGTCAACTTCTATGGTTGTAGGGCAAGAAAAGCGAAGGTGGATATTTGGGTTGGGGCACAACATAATTAAGAGAGTCATTCCATTTACAGCGAGATAAATTGGGCAAACACAAGTGGTCTAGTGTCTGAGCTTATTAGTCAGACGACAACTACTTCACTTATTAAATTAGTATTAATCGCCTATTTCAGAAAGGGATGGAGTATAAAGAACTAAAAACGCTAGCAACGTTTTTTTCCCCCGGCATGGGGAAATAACAAATTGTGGGCCGCCATTTTTCAAAGGGGTTAGCTTAGCCGTTTGATTAGTCAGCGACCTAATCCATGAACCAGAAAATGGTTGGAGCCCAAACCTGGCCCGAAATAGACCCTTACGTAACTGGAACAAAGCCCACTGATCCTTAATCATTGACCTTACAAACAAAAAGGTCCATGCCAATTCGTAAAGGAGGAGGAGTCGTGTCATTCAATAAAGTTCAGAGCATAATCAAATAATATACTCTTTATTATAAAGAGAGGGCATTAGTCAATAGAGCCAAAACTGTAATGTTTGGTGTTAATTTGTATTATTCAAACGTAATTATTGTAATGAAGATCCTTCCAGATGTTTACTGTGGATACCTTTTCCCTATATTTGGAGTTAATTTTTTTAGGTAAAAAATAATAATTTATGCTGGAACCCACAGTAAAATCAATAGTTGAGATTATTAAGTCTATTTTTTAAGTTCATGTAGCATTGCTTAAAATAATAATTTAAAAAATTTCGTAAAAAATAATTAGAGTTAAACCCCCCTAAAACTATTTGGGATGTTCTTTAAAAAGTTGAAAAAAATTTGTTTTTGAGTGATTTTCTAATTTTTTTGATTTTTTATGTCAAAATAAAAAAAATAATTACATATATGTATAGATTATGCATAATAATTTGTAAAATATGAATTTTAATTTTTTTTAAGTCATTAATCATATTTTATGAATATAATAAACTAAAAAATTATATGAGATCCACGATAAATTTCTAAAAAGTTAGAAAAAAAAATTCATAAAATTAGCCTAAATAAATTTTTTTAAGTCCAAAAAACTAATATATATACTGCTCCAAAAATTAAGGTACAAACAGGCATATCTTATTTTATTCTGAAGTCTATAAAATAACTTGTATAGCCAGCTCCAGGCTCACTATGGACACATAAAAGAGGGCTATAGAGCATAGGTGTTTAAGGGGTCCGACCCTGACTTGTGGGGCAGAGGATTTTTTTTTTTTGGGGTTGTGGGGCAGAGGATTACAGGCCGAAAGACCAACCAACATACTTAGTGACTGCCAGTAGCAACTCTCTAATTGATTGATGTCTTAATCGCCCTCTATCTTTTTCCTATAAACTTCGTACGGGCTTAAGATCTTTTTTCTGGCTTTTATGTGTTCTATCTAACAAGCCTAATCAACGTCATGCATGATAGTCTATAATTCATATGCTTTTGTCGAGAGAAAAATATAGGATGAAGGTTAAATGCACATCCTCGGGGAAGGTAACTGGTATGAAGTTGTTTGCACACAATTCTTCGTACCAATAGAGATGATAGTGTATCGTCGCGTATTCGTTTACGCGTTATGTCTAAATATTATCGTTTTAGAATTTATTCTATGACTTAATTATATTTGATACATGAATTTATAAGCATATAAATTGTGTATAATCATGTTTAACGTCAATTTTTTTATTAAACAAGCTTAGTCCGTGAATCAAGTAATAATATAAATTCTTTAAAATTCAAATGAAAACCCAATAATCTCATACAAGAAATGGCAAGGAGGATTGCAGTCTTTATGTTAGAGTTTCCTAAATTAGCTACAAACTCATCTAATATTACCCTTAATTAATAGGACTAATCTCAAATTGCACTCCAAAAGATTACTTGAATCTCAATTTGAACAAGTTTAAAAATTTTATATTTATGATCCAAAAAAAATTTCTTCCATTAATTCTAGTTAAATAGTTTTCAATTGTATCATGTCATGTTCGAATCAATAAAAAAATATTTTTAAAATTTTTAAAAAATTATAAAATATATTTTTGCTTACAATACTTGTTAAATAGTTATTTATGTGTACAGTTTAGACACGAATCTTTTGACTGTTCGATCAAATTAAAGTTAGATATGAATAACATAACTGTAGACATGAAATAACTATTTAATAAGTATTGTAGACAAAAAATTAGATATTTTTATAATTTTTAAAAAATATTAAATAGTAATATATAAATTTTCGTTAATGTGAAATATACGACACAAACACAATTGACTTGACACGAAAATATTTTGTGTTAAAATTATTTTTTTATCAACTCAAACACAACACGAAAATAATACAATACAAAATAACATGATACGATACAATTGAGAGATATTTAACGAGTATTAATGGATTGAATTTTTTTTTAATCATAAATGTGAAGCATGTAAACTTTCAAGATACAATTTATAATTATCTCAAAATTTTTGACCGGTAAAATAGATGACAGTTAACCCCCAATGTAAATTAATAGAAATTTATACCTTTTAAGGTATAAATTAATATTTTTAAATTTTAAAGATATAAATTAAAATTTGAATGATTTTTTAGCCCTAATTAATAAAGGACAGGAAAAGGGGCGGTTGGGGCATTCTATCGAGCAACAAAAAGGCATACTTTTGACAAAAGAAAAAGAGGCACATCCAGAGTAGAACACCCCCTTACACATTCAACGTCTCGGGCCGCGAGCGAGAACCTTAACAACTAAGCAAGCAATCATGGTGGATATCTGCACGAGTGCTGGTGCTCTTCCCGGTGACTTTGTTGGATAAAGTTGTGTGAGTGTGAGAGACCTTCACTAGGCCTAGGGCAAGATTTTTTGTCTTTTTTCCGACATTTTGGGAATTTTTTTTTTAATTTATTATATTTGATTAAGTGTGATATTCTTACTCAACTTCTAATCAAATTAATCAAATAGAATATCGGGTAAACATTTTTATAATTATTAATTTTTAAATTATTTTAACAATTCAATTAAATAACATGTACTAATTTAACAACACAATAAACTAATAACACTAAAATCTAAAGTAATTACAACAATAATAACAATAAAATATAAACATCAATCTATCATAATTATTGCACAAATATAATAATAATTATTTTAAATTTAAACCATATGATTAAAGAATTAGAGTTTTTAGTGTGTATGTATGTATGTATGTATAAAATAAAGTATAATATAATTCATATTTTAAAAAATGAATAAAAATAACTTTTGTTATTCGCGGTTAAGATCTCTTTAAATTTTACTTTAAAATTAATTTAACGACTAATGTTAAAACCCCAAATTTAATATAAAAAAAAATCCATAAATGTGTGTTTGGAATAACTTTTTAAGAGTATTTTTATGAATTATTTCTTATAAGCTCTTTTAAAAAAAATAATATTTAGAAACGCTCTATCACAACCTTTACCATCATCACCGCCACCGCCACCACCACTATCGCCACCCTACCACACCTACCGCTCCACCACCACCACCGTTATCATCACCACCCCCCACCACCACACCATTTCCCACCGCCCCACCACCACCATCATCACTACCACCACTGCTTCATCACCATCATTACCATTACCACCACTATCCCACCACCACCGTCCCACTAGTGATGACCGTGATTCCAAAAGTCGGGTCTCGTGAGTTATGTCAAGCAGAGTAAGGCCTCGAATACATTTTAAGGTTATGACTGTGATGAAAAAATTATAAAAAAAATATTTAGCAATGATAGGCTACTCGAATCGTGCAAATTGAAAAGTATCATAGTTTATTCATTATTTAGAGACTGCAATATTTAGTGATTGAGAAGGTTATTAGCGCTCTTGAAGTATACGAAAATGGATGAGGGTGTTACAGATTGGTATCAGAGCATAAGTATGAGATTTTGTAGACTATCCTAGGTTTAATTACTTAGGATGACGACTTGTGGGTAGTGGAGGAAATTGATTTGTGATGAACATAAATTATCATATCAAAGGTTTAATTTGTGGTGACTTGTCTATATGTTGGTGGATTAACTTCGATTTTCTTGGAGATGACTTTTAGGGATGATTTGTGCACGAGTTATTTGGATTGAGGTTACACCTGTACGGTTAGTACTTTACTAGAGTTGCACAGCGATAACATAATGGAACATGCAAGTGAAAATCAAGTGAATGTGATAAAAATATGCGTTTACCATAACGAATAATGGGGATATGCAAGAGCATTGAGGTAAGTATAAATTTTAAATAAGTATTCTGATATTGGTATACACACTTATGCATTGATGAGTACGACGTGTAGGTGGAAATTTCGAGGACAAAATTCTTTTAAGGTAGGTGGATTGTGATGACCGTGATTTTGAAAGTTGGGTCTCGTGAGTTGTATCATGTAGAGTAAGGCCTCAAATGCATTTTAAGGGTTATGACTGTGGCGACAAAATTAAAAAAAATAATTATTTAGCAATGATAGGCTACTCGAATAGTGCAAATTGAAAAGTATCAGAGTTTATTCATTATTTGGAGACTACAACATTTAGTGATGGAGAAGGTTATTAGCGCTCTTAAAGTATTACGAAAATGGATGAGGGTGTTACACCCCCACGACCATCACAATTACCATCACCGCCACTGTCCCACTTGGACCCCCACTCCACCTTCACTACCACCACCACCATCGCCACCCATCATTGATTGTTATCATTGTCGTCCACTGCCACCGCCTACCGTCATCATTATCTTATTTTTATATTTATTATCATTACCACCATTATCTCACTACCATTGTCGCCCATCGTCAACACCCACCACTACCATTGTTGTCCACTGTCACCCATTACCATAACCCACCATTACCTGTCGCCGCTCACCATCGTCACCAGCAACTATCACCCACCTCCACCACACCTACCACCATCACTCATCATCGTCCATCACTGCAACCACTCACTATCACCTACCCCCACCACACTTACCACCACTGCTATTCGCCACCACCCATCACACTATCATTTAGAAGCATCCATCGTTGCCCACCAGCGCTGTTGTTGTCACCCACGACTGTTACTACCATCAGCGTCATCCAAAAATCTGCCATCATCATCATCCAAAAATTCACCACCATCACCATCGTTATCACCCACGACTGCCACCACTACCACAGTTGTCTCTACCTACTACAACCATCACCGTCTCCCATCATCACCCATCACCACTACCACTCACCACCACTAACACCGTTCACCCTCATTACAATAGATACTTAAATTCTTTATCTTTCCTTTATGTTTGTAATTTAATTTTGGGTGTGAATACAAATATGTTTATTATTGACAATTTTTTTATTACTTCATGCCTTCAGCCATGAAAAATAACTAATATATATATAAATAAACAAATCAATGCAGGTAAGGTAGGGTAGGATTGGAATACAAAAAATAATGGTTATTTCGTATTCTTACCCGATTTAATCAGAAGACCAAAAACTCTTTCACACTTCTATCCAATTTTTTCGACTAGTTGTTCATTTGGGTTAGATAGGGTCAAATAAGATAGAAAATTGTGGCTAATCAGAAATTTGAACATCCCCTAAGTAGGGAAAGATTTTGGCCTCAATGGAAATGGTTGTTTCAATGTTGTTAGTACCAATTGAACGATTTGGACTCTAGGCTTCCAGACAAAATCCTCAATTTAATCATGTACTAAAACCTGTTTAAAAGTATACAAATATTAGCGGCGGCTCAATAAGATGTATGAAAATTATTTTTCCCAATCATTATCTTATTTCACACTTCCTCAATTGAGGCAGTAATTAAACAAGTCAAATACAATAATTTAATTGTAAGGAGATAATTAAATATTTCAATATTTAGAAAATAAACATTTGAGAAGAAAAGACTTTTCAAGTACTCTCACCTAAAAGATATTTGTTTTATATTTATAAATAGATTGAAAAAGTATTAGGGATACAACTTGGGCGGGCTGAAAGGTCAACTCTATATATAGAATCTTTAACCCGAGCCCGAACTCAAACCCAACTTCAACCTGAGGTACTCAACCCGAGTACTGCCCAAGTTGAATTCAGACGGGTTAGGTTGAATTCGGNTCAACTCGAGGTACTCAACCCGAGTACTGTACAAGTTGAATTCAGGCAGGTCAGATTGAATTCGGGTTACAAATCAAATAAACACAAAGAAATTAAACCAAAAAGTTCAAAATACCATAGCCTCCACAACCACTACCCATAGCCACTACCACTGTCACCACAACCACTACCTATAGCTACCGCCACAATTATTGCCCATCGCCACCACAGCCACCAAGTCGTTGCCCACATAGCCACCACACCACAGACGTTCCCACACAGCCACTAGATCTCATTATCGTTGTGGTCTTCGACGCCATAGCCATCAGATTACTAGATTTGAGAATCGTTGTGGTCTTCGGCACATAGATGGAGTGAGAGGGAGGCCGAGAGAGAGTAAGAGAGAGCCTAAGGGATGGAGAGAGGCTGAGAGATGGAGATGGAGAGGGGCTGAGAACGAGAGAGGTAGAGAGAACGAGGGAGCAAGAATGAAAAACCAGTGTATATATATATATATATATATATTTATTTATTTGTCAGGTTTGGGTTGAACCCGTGAACCCGATGCCTTAACCCGAGGCCCGTCCAAATTAAATTTAAGTTTGAATTTTTGACCCAACCCTAATCCAAATATTAAAAATCTTAACTCAAACCCTAATTTTTTTAGGTTGGACTTGGATTAAAATCGGGTTCGTCCGTCCAAGTTACACCCCTAAAAAGTATCATCATTCAGGCAACATTCTTGATTTCTTACACTTCACAGGTTACCAAGGTGTTTGGGTTTAATTTGTATACAAACCCAGCTTAAAAACGTAATTAGATTGAATTTATTTTATAATTTAAACGAGTCAAAACAAAATCAACCCTTACTTTCTTAAATTTGTTAACAACTCCTCACATTAATACGAAGTGATTAAGTCGTGCGGGTCAATTGTAGAGGGTCGAATATGTAAGCAATCATGACGATTAAATCATCAATAATATTACTTGTATTTGTATTTTTATATCCGATCTTGTATTGTGTGTATTGAATTGATAATAAAATTCATATAATACTAAAATTCATCTATAATCTATTCCTCACCTTAAATCCATGAATTAAATACCAATAACATTACTTTTCAAAAATCTAAGAATATAGTTTTAAAAAGGGTGTTTGGAAATATGCTCAAAGTTCATTAGAATCCTACAAATTAGTTATGACCATCATTAGACAAACAAACCAAAGTAACAAATCATCAGTAACAATCAATTTTCATGTTTTATGGCTAAGTAATTGACAATGTTTTTACCCTTTATTCCTTTTTAATCAATCATCACCACCTTCTTCTCTTCCTGGAGACCCCGTCTACAGTAGTAGCGTACAGTTACACCTTCCTATTTTTCCCACTCTGATTCTCTATCTGTGGAACCTTTTTTCACATGCCGTTCACCAAATCTCGTCATGTTCTGCGTCGTACACACCAACAAACATATGATTGTCCTTCGAAATCCATGGATTTCAATCAAATTCGTTCCAATATTTTCAACGTAAACTTCACTATATTTGAAGGATTTTAGAGAGACAGAGAGAGAGGGAGAGAGAGATGGGGAGTGGCAAGCATAGGTCGAAGATCTTCTTCCACCGTTCTTCACCCATCACCGCCTTCAGGAAACAAAAATTCCCAAGAGAATTTGTATGTCCTATTTCTGGCTCTCTAATGGCCGACCCTGTCATTGTTTCTTCAGGCCACACTTTCGAGCGCAATTGTGTTCTTGCCTGCAAGTATCTCTCCTTCATACCCACACTCCCAGCTGGGTGTACCGCTGATTTCTCGACCATCATCCCCAACCTCGCCCTCAAATCTACCATTGTAAACTGGTCATGTTCTTCCCTCCATGACCCTCCTAAACCGATCGATTTTCACTCTGCGTGCAAACTCGTCCAAACGTTAATGGACTCTCAAAACCCCAAATCACAACGAACCCATTTCAAGACTCGTGACGAAAAACATACCCAATTGGTCAAAGAGGCCGCAGAGAAGAATGGCATTGCAGTGACGAAGTTAACTGATTCCGACACTGAATTGACTGGGAGAACTAGTAGACTCAGTTCCAGTTCAGATGAATCGGTGGCCTTAGCTAATGGACCCACCACTCCTCTGCCTCTCAAGACTCGACCCTCCTGTTACTCTTCCGAATCATCGTCCGATATCGAAACGCTGAACTCAAACTCACTCGAAGAGGAAGAATTTATAGAAAAATTAAGGAGCTCTCAGGTCTTTGAACAAGAAGAAGCTGTCATTTCCCTTCGAAAACTCACCCGAACTCAAGAAACTGCCCGTCTCCATCTCTGCACTCCTCGCTTGCTCTCAGCCCTCCGAAATCTAATCACCTCGAGATATTCATCAATTCAGGTAAATTCCACCGCAGCATTGGTGAACCTGTCACTAGAAAATCCCAACAAGATCAAGATCGTACGGTCGGGAATAGTCCCACCCTTGATAGATGTTCTAAGAGTTGGATTCCCCGAATCGCAGGACCATGCAGCCGGTGCCCTCTTCAGTTTGGCCTTAGATGATCAGAACAAGACTGCAATTGGGGTTTTAGGGGCGTTGCCATCGCTTTTGCACGCGATACGATCCGACTCGGAGCGGACTCGACACGACTCAACTTTAGCTTTGTATCACCTCTCACTGATCCAGAGTAATCGAGTTAAGTTGGTGAAAATCGGCTCTGTTCCGATGCTTTTGGGGATGGTGAGGTCCGGTCATATGACTGGTCGAGTCATGCTGATCCTGTGTAACTTGAGTGCTAGTGTGGAGGGGCGTGCGACTGTGCTCGACTGCGGTGGTGTGGAGTGTTTTGTGGGAATGCTGAGTCGAGGGGAATTTGACTCGGAGTCGACTCGGGAGAGTTGTGTCACAGCATTGTATGGGTTGAGTCAGGGTGGGTTGCGGTTTAAGGGGTTGGCAAGAGAAGCTGGGGCAGAGGAGGTGCTGAAGAAGGTGGAGGAAATTGGAAGTGAGAGGGTTAAGGAGAAGGTAAGGAGGATAATGGGGGTGATGAGAGAGAAGGACGAGGAGGAAGAGGTGGATTGGGAGGAGTTGCTTAACTCAGGGGAGGTGAGTCAGACTCGTTATAGACTCGGAGGTGGGAGGGATGGGTCGGGTGTCAACCCGTCTGAGTTTTGAGTATTTGGACATAGTTTGATTCTTTTTTTGGGTATATTTTGTAAGAAATTAACTCGTGTTAAGTTTTACATGGCTGTTTTTTGGGCTGATTTGGATTCTGGTCTGGTTCTCACTTACGTGGATTGCTTATGTTTCAAGTGACAATGGTGTTTTGAAGGATAGTGAAATTGTAAATAATATGTTGGAGTGTCAATGCCATGATGACAAGGGGATGTAATTTAGGTTATTTCCTCCTCCTTCTGGTGTACCACTTCTCCTTCTGGCGAAAGGAGATGTAATTCACAAACTCTGCGATTTGTTTCTTGGATTTCTTTAGTTTTGTTTATATGTTCATGGTTTTGTATTGGATTGCCATCTTGGAGGATTTCTTTCCCCAACCTTTATTCGGAATTTATCTTAGTTGCAAACTACTAGAGTTGTGAAATGCGATGTACTGGTATCAGTAGAAGGCTGTTAAACCTTCCATTTGTTTAAGTAGTGGGAAGCTCCAGTCCCATGGTTATTAAACCTGCATGGTGCGCTTGCATTTGTACAACATCTTTTAAAATCATGGAAGTGTACTAAGAAAAATCTATTTCTGCTGACTTTCTTGCTCAGACTGGAGTTGTTGATGCAGCTATTAGGCTTGAAAAGCTTCGTGAAGCAGGTATCCCATGGTGCTCACTTTTGTTGAAGTAACACAGCAAAAGGAAATCTCATTCTCAGCACTGCTTTGTCTCTCGTACATTGGACATCTAGTTTACTGATGCCAGCATTCACCTGACATAGACTCTGTAAGTAATTGGTTTCCCTCTAATATACCTGAACAATTGGTGTGGTTTTCTGAATGTTTCTTGACCTACATAGTTATTTTACTGAAAACATTTAAGTGGCATTACTTTTATCCGAGTGTAAGTTGCCTAAATTGAGAGCACTTCATCCAATCAGCAAGTTACTATGTTGTCAAAGTACTTCCACTGTTCATGTTTATTGAAGAGATCTTATCGAGACACCAAATGTGATGCAGTGACCTATCGCTATTAAGCGACTAATCTGTTCAAAAATAATGTCAATGTCATCTCTATGATGGTTAAGTGATGTGTACTTGCAACAGCTTATGTATCACTCATTGTTGAGTCATCACAGAGTTTGACCATATAAGGTTTCTTAGAGGGAAAGTTTGAGAACTTCCAACAATAAAATAGATTGATGTTTGAAGAAAATCTTTAGATTCCCAGTTTTGTTTTGCCTGGTTGCTTGGCTGCTGTTTAATTAGTAGGATAGATCATGGTTGATGATTAAACTCGCCAGAAATTTATGTTCTACATACTTCATGACATAATGACTCATTTTGTATTTCTTCCCCACACAGAAGGAGATTGACTCACTACCTACCTACGTGTTACACGCCTAGAGTAATAATATATCTAACAGGATCATTCTTTACCAGTCCTGGTGCTCTCACCATATGTGTTGGTGTTACAGGTTTATTTCTTGCAGTTACATGTCAAAACCTCTTCAATGATGCATTGGTACTCATATAACAAATTTCTTTGCGGATGTTGGCCATACGACATAATGATAAATTAGCATCATTTTGTTTATCAGAAGGAATGATGTACGTTCACAAATTTTGAGGTTCTCACTTCTCAGCAACCTGCATTTAAATTCTAATTAGGGTTGCACTTCCTCTGTTATTTAGTTCTGACAGCCACTGTCACTACTTGGTTGACTTCCTTACATGTTCTTTGTATGTTGTTCGATTCTCATTTTAAGAGATGGATTTCATACTGCTGAATACAACACTTCAAAAGATTCGGGGGCTGTGCATTAGAATTGGAATCAAGTTGTTTTCTATGACACACATCCAAAGTTGAACATCCAATTCATAATCTGCTAGTATACAGAACACAAGTTTAACACAAACTTAGAATACTTCTGATTATGAAGTATTGGCCTAGCCTGTCCCAGTGTCTACGTTCCAAAAAGTATGAGCGTAGCCTGTCCCCACTGAGATATATGCAGACCTTAAGGAGGACCCTTATCAACAATTACGTTTATATCATTCCCAACTCCAAACATTCGTTGTGAAACAAACAACAATGGTTTGTAGCATTTCCTATTAATCTGTGTAGGGGGGTGTCGTTGTTAGTAGCCATTGCTTCCTTTCCCATTTGCCAGAGCATCCTGAAAGCAGGATCAAGATGGAGGGTTCTTGAACAAAGGAGCTATTAAGTGGCAGATAAGTACAAAAGGAGTAAGATCAGTCTTGGAATCTTTTTCTCTGTGGGACTGGTAGCCAATTTCTTTCTTATTTTACCTATTTTATTTGCCTTTTCTCTTTGCCATTTGAGTCTCTTGGAATCCTTTGTGTCTCTCGGTGCTGAGTTCATTTGATGCATGCTAATTCCATAGTTTTATGAACACTGATGCCTCTTGTTCATGACAAAAGGAAGTGAGACGTTGTTTATATCCCCACTCTGCACACGATTTGGAGCTTCCAATCTGTGTGCTGATTCGGAGCTTTGAATCTGTGTGCGAGACCAGTCTAAAGAGAAGTTATTGCCCTGATGTGTTCTTTTCGATTGTCATCAATGAGAATTGCATTGCTTGTCCTCCTACAATCGATTGAATACGTTAGTAATTAATTGTAATCAGCTATAGTTGCTTGCTGCAAAGTTAGAGCACCTTTCTTTTCGTCTTATTTTCATTTGGTCGTCCGCCTGTTTTGTAATTGTTGATTGATTAATTTGGCATAAAGTAGACGACCGACTAAACAGAAATAAGACGGTTAACCACAGTACAGTATTTTATTTCTATAGCGGGGCAATGTGAAAAATTAATCATTTGAGAAGCAAACTGAGAATTTTTGTATCTCTCAGCAAGCAAGATGAGATTTATCCTTTGTTTTTATTTTTTGGTTTAACAGTCAGGAGTGCCTAGGCTAACTTACACGCATCTTGACTAATCGGAATCTCATCTCTGGTAAGATAAAGGTAGGTCATCCACGTCGGGACTAGGGTATTGATGAAAAATAAATTTCTCATGACCTAACTCCAAAGGATTGTCAAAATTTAAATTCAGAATAATTGTATTTATAATTCGTTCTTGTTATCACTTGAACTACATTTGAATATTGATTTTGTGTGCCAAAGGGGTAACACAGTTATGCATTTATATTCAGAATGTGAGTCCTTTTTTTTTTTTTGGACTATTTCAAGGGCAAAAGTCTTATGTGTCATTTTGCCATTTGAGATTTTGAAAATATTCAATCTTTGAGAAATGATGTATAACATTGGATCAAATGACATGAATGTGAAAGGAAGTGACCAATATGATCAATAAACTAGATGTTTCCTTTTATTCCTCTGAAATGAGGAGTAAAAACTCTCACGTATGGACAAAAATATTGCTATGCGTAATGTCATTTCATTTAGTCCTTATTTTTTGCCTTGTTTTTTGATCAGTCTAACATTACTTTATCGATATACTGTCGGCAGAGAAATATATGGGAAGACAAGGGACGGGGTCCCAGGATGGAACCCATTGACCCCCCCCCGCCCACCCAAATACTGATGCAGATCGTCACCAAGAGAAAGCCAGCTTGGCCGGTGCCCTTGAAGACTCATCAGCCTTTTGATCTATAATCATAGAGATAATTGAGCAAAAGGGTATGGAGAGATCTAACTCTCTCTTATTCCAGAGGTTTAGTCTGTCCAGTTGGAGGCAATGGACAATGCCTACAATGTCTTCCTTCCTGTACCCATGATACACCTAGCTGGCTCAAAAGCTTGTCCCTAATTCAGTCTCATCCCATCACATGGATGGATGGCTACCTCGCACTCGCAGTGTTCATCTGGAAAGGTCAAGGCGACCAACTCATTTCTTAATGTTGGCTAACCACACGCGGCTCAATGATGTTTCCAACATTGTTTTAAATTATTTACATAAACAAAATGTTATGTTTTTTTTTTGTCATGCTTTCAAAATGTTTCTGAAAAAATTGTGATTTCCGAGTGACGAAAACTCCGTACCTAAACGAAACTTCACTTTTATTTCTTCATTATTATTTTTTTTTTGTGGGCATGAAACAATTTCTAAATACCTCCATAAATTATAATGTATCTCGAACAAACTCTTAGAAGTGGTACAATAATTGAATTTGACCTTTGATAATTCAAAAGTTCTAAGTTCAATTCATTCACACACTCTATAATAGAAGTGTTCACCCTACTCCATGGATAGAAATTATGGTCTTTTATCTTCTTACCTGATATTTTACAAAAAAAAAAATTTTGACGTACCCTATTCAATGAAGTGTACTATTTCTACCCAAATTCCTTCCAAAACAATCGGGTAAGAAGTCGGGTAGGAAATGAGTGAACACATATTTTTTAATTATTAATTTTTGAATTATTTTAACAATTTAATTAGATAACCTACATCAATTAACTAACAATACATTATATATAAGAAAATCATAAAAATCAATAAAACATTAGAGTTTCTATATATATATATATACTAGTCATAACTCGTACCTAAAGGCACGATAAAATATAAAATTTAAGCTTTTAAAAAATCGATCCTACTATATTAAATTTTTTCAAAATATATTAATTACAAATCAATCAAATATTACATGGTTAAATATATGATAGAAATAAATAATGTGATATTTTGAGGAAAAAAATATATAAATGATTAAACATGTGATAAAAATGAGTGATGTGATTTGACGTTTGAGTCTGACAAAGGGATGATAAGTGAGGTAAATGATTGATGATGGTTTTAAGGAGAAAAATATGACTGAGATAAAATTCAAACACATTCATGTTTATTATATATATATATATATATATATATATATATATATAAGTAGAACGAAGTTTGAATCCAAAAGACAAAGAGAGGTCCAGATCGTTTCAAGACAAAACATAAATACATCCAACGGACAACGTAATCCCAACAAAAAAGACGGTTCATATTATTTAAAAAAAATTGATCTAACAGTCTACAGTTAGTCCTGAATTCCTTTTCTTGCCCATAAAGAAGTCATTTATTATAAGACTCTACACTCCTATCTCTCATACGTCTATCTTAATTTGAAAAAGTACAATAACAACTCAAATTGAATTCATTTTAAATTAAATGATCTAAATGTTATATGTTAAAAGTGCATTGGTACCTTGATTTAAGTTTGTTTTATTTAATTTCTAATTTTACAATAAAAATTTGAATAAAATTAAAAATATTTCTATTAATTACACATAAAATACATAATATCTCTAAATTTAGTGCTTCTTTTTCAAAGTTTGACAGTTTAACATTTGACCTAATAACCGCATATACATCGTTACTACAATACAAAAATCAGTACTCAAATAGACAATATCACCATTTTTGGACATATAAGTTATTTAGTTTATCGATTTTTTCAAAACCTTTGGTATAATATTTCATTAAAAACCATTATATACTTACTATATAATTTTTCATCCTTTTTATTACAAATTGATTCATACCTAAAGTACATTATAAGTAAATCTTCTTATTACGTATCTTAGTACTGATAGTTAACGTTTACTTCTTATTTTTTATCAATTAATGAAGTTTAAATTATCTTTATAATGCATAAATAAAATCATCAAGTTATTATTCATATCAAAAATAAATCACTGCTGTATGAAAATCTATAGTTTTCAAAAAATAAAAAAATAAAAATCAAAGCCCAAGTTAATCAGCAATTAAAAAAATAAGTGACCAATACAAAAAAAATAAGATACCAATAGAACCAACAAAAAATGTTCAAAACTAATCTAATCGCTATGTGTTGAAATTATTTAAACATTTTATTTTTGTGTGTTGAAATTTTATAAATAACATAGTGCCTTCAAACACGTACAAATGACTAGTATATATATATATATATATAGTGGTAGGGTAGGAGAAATATGAAAATTTTATTAGTATTTTGTATTTATACCCGATTTTTTACGGAATACCAAAAAATCTTTTATTGGCCTATTTAATTCTTTCAAGTGGCTGATAAATAGAGTCAGGTTAAGTAGAATAGAGTCAGGCAGGCAATTGGAAATTTGAATACTCCTGCTCCCTAAAAGCCAATCACCCTTATTCCTCATAAACATCCTCCACTCTAGCTTAACTCATAATCGCAATCGTTGAACTCAAAAAAAATATTGATACAAGAGAGTCCTTAACCAAAAAAAACAGAAAAACTTTTCTCTAACGAATAGTTATGTGCAATGGCCTAAGAGTTGGCAGCACCGTCAACACGGTTGTAGAAGAAAATGACTGTTTTGTCTCAGATCTTGAAAAAGACACTCACCAAAGAAGAGACAAACTCAGGTCACTCCATTTAACAACTATCCTATCCATCACCGGTGAAATCTGCAAAACCCAGAAACCATCTCTTTTTCACTTTACCATCATCAAAAATCATACTTTTTTTTTCCCAAACACTACCATAGAAAAAAGATGACAAAGTTTGAATTCAGGACCTAATATCCAACCGCATCTAGTCGTGTTTCCACATGCACAATCTCCTATAATTAATCTATCACTATCAAATTAAACTATTAGTAAAATCACCGCCTACTCTTTAATTATTTCCATCTTCAATGCAAACCACAAACCTCAAGAACAGTGTAGTAAACCAATACAAACTCTCAATTCAATAGAAACCCATCAATGATAAAGACTACTATATAAATAAGAATGTATATTTTTAGGCTTAATATCACTTTGATTTAATGAGAACTTGTATACATATAATTTATCAACTCATCAAAACAAAAGAGAAACAATTGATTTAATCAGAACTTGTATACATATAATTTATCAACTCATCACAACAGAAGAGAAACAATTGAACGATACCATCCTCACCATGATCAACAGTTTCAGTGAAAAAAAAGCAGCACAGATTTTTAGTTAAATGCATCACACCTGCGTCTAATCTGTCCTGTCCTTCCAGTCTTGACACCATATAGACTCAGTTTCTCCATTGCTTGTGAAAATGCCTGAAAGAACGCAGTCTGATTCTTGGCGTACAAATCGACAAAAGGATTAGTCCTTGGATCCGAATACAAAGCGTGGTCTGAAGACAATAGTCCTAAACCCCTCGGCAAGTTTTGGTAGTACATATTGTCAAAGTTTCTTGGAGTTATTATGTCATTGAACACCGACAACGTCGGATTGTTATGATAATCAGCACAAGCATTCCTCAATCCCTCCGCAAATTTTGGGTAGTAAGCTGGATCGGACTCTGAAGTCTTGCTGTAATTGTATAGGTTTGCACTGAATTCTTTACAATGTGAAAGCCCAATCGTGTGTGCCCCAGTTAATGCCACCATTTCTTGCACTGAGAATCCTCTGGACTCGAAGATCTTGATGATTTGGGTCATCGCCATTGTGGGTCTCGGAAGATTGCCTTCGACTCGAGAAGCTCTGGACACCAATCCATCTCTCCGGCCTAATGGGACATTGTAAAACGGGCCACCCATCATGGAGACGAGATTTCTGGTGGCGACGGCTAAAATGTCGGCGCAAGAAACCACCCCTGGGCAGTCAAGTTCCAGGGCGCTCTTGGCTCGGACAACGACGTCGAAGCCGTCACCGGGTAAAGAGAGGTTGATGTCGGCGTCGCGTTCGGCCTTGTTGAAGGGAGTGGAAGAGATGAGAACAGAGGCGTCGCAGCCCTCTACCAAGCAGTCGTGGAAGAAGAGGCGGATGGCGGCAGCGGCGGTGGTTGGCGATGTGATCTGCTTGTTGGTGGTGGTCTCTTGCATGATCTGCTCAAATCTCGGGCATGTTTTCTTGTAGTAGTTGAGACTAAGCCACTGGGACTGTGAGAGAGGGAGTGTTGAAAGCAGAAACAAGAGGAGTAATGGGAGGAGTGCCATGGGAGTGTCAGAGAAGTTGCTTCTCAGTAGTTCTCCCTTCAGAAGTTAGAGAGAGAGAAAATGTATGTATTAGGGAGAGAAAGAGGAAGCAGAGCTAATGGAGCGCAGAGAGAGAGAGATGGATGGGATTGTAAGGGTTTTACTCGGAGGAAGATGAGTTACTTTGGAGAGGGAGGGAAGTACACGCGCCACTCTCTCATGTGCCACTAATCACGGGATGTGAGCTGTAAAATGGGCCCACACATAGAGTGGGGTCAATTTGAATTGGCGCCTGGTGTAGTTGTTATGCCTTTTTTAAAGTAGGACAATTAAGCCATAGCTGCATTGCAGCGGGAATTGTGAAATTACTGGAATGCCCATGACAAGTCAATTTTCTCTACACCTTTCGTATAAGATTTTTTTGTATGTCTGGATTGGGAAAGATGGAAAGATGGAAAGATGACACCAAATTGTAAAAAATGGGATGAATTAAGGGTAACGTTTAGGGGTGCAACTTGGGTTGGATAATCCGAGTCCAATCCGAAAATATTAAAACTTAGACAATTATTTTTAATACTTGAGTTGAACTTGGGTCAAAAAATCTCAACTCGAATTCAATTTGGGTTGGACTCGGGTTAAGGCCTCGTGAACCCGAGTTCAACTCGAACCCAAAAAATTTTAAAAAAAAATTATATATATATGTAAAACATTAACATTGATTTTTCATTTTTGTTCTATCATTCTCTGTCTCTTTCGTTCTCTTTGCCTATTTCGTTCTCTCAGTCTCTCTTGTTAAAAACTTGGTTGAAATTATTGGTTGTTAATTTAGGTGAATATTATGTAATATATGTATTAGGTTTAGAACAATAAGTCTATTTTGAGCTCTACCTAAATTGAACCCGAAATCATTTAGTCGAATTCAATCCGAACTCGGACAGTGCACGGGTTGAGTTCCCCAACCCGAAGTAGGGTTAAAGTTAGGGTTAAAGATTATATACCTAAGATTGAACTAGGGTTGATTGTCCAACCCGCCCGAGTTACAGTTTTAGTAACGTAAGACCGATAAAAAAAAAAAAAAAAATAGAGCCCAAATAATTTCTTATTTTTTTATTAAAATAGGATAATTATTTTTATCTGATATTTTGTTACCTTATCTGTATATTGTATCTAATTTAAGTAGTTGAAGGGCCAAGTTAAATAATCGATTATATTTTTTTGAACATATACTCTACTTCTCTACACCGCCGTCACTCTACGCCTCTTTGGCTACGATAGATGCATGAAAGTTGCAATTTTAGGGAGTGAAGAATGGGTAATTTTTTATATATCAAATTTATGCATTAAAATTTACACCAAATTAACTCTAATAATTGGATCAGTAATAGAACCCACTAATTCAATGGCTACAAAGAATTTGGTGCACATAGTATTTCTACCTTTTGATGGGTGAAATTTTTGATAGTCTAAGGGAGGGGGAGGGGGAGGGGGTAGAAGTGCATGTCGAAGCAAATCCTGTTAAATCCCCCTAATCAATGATAATCAGTGGTAAAATCAGGGACCTGAAGTCATAATCAAACGGTTGTGAGCCTCTCAATTATGGCTTTACATGAGGGTTTAGTTCTAATTTGGATTGAAATGAAAAAAACGGAGTTTCAGGCGTATGTTGTGTCCAAGTCACATGATGTCTCATGTTATTTGTTTGTTATCCAAATAAAGGTGGGTATGAAAGAAGAATTTATGCATTGAAGAAGGGACTTGAATTACAATAATAAAAAAAAAATTTATATAAAATTTGCAATCAATCCTCATTGTTACCTCTTATAAAACTGAGATGCGTAATAAACAGTCTTGTATCTATTGTGATGCAATAACTCGTACGAAATGGTGAAAACTGGTAGGCCTGGGCCCATTCAGAATGCCAAACGACAAATAAGTGGCTTGGGCCCATTTTACCCAAAAGAGAGAATAATGACATGGGCGGCCATAACTGGCTGATGGGTGAGTGTGGTACTTTACATATGTGGTGTCTATGGCATGTGCTAGTTGGTCCCATGAATCCTAGCATTTACTAAGAGCTCTCTACGCCTGTCTATATTACCAGCTCAGGGTAACATGCCACCATTACAAATACAGCTTGATGTAATAGATAGATGAACTCCCACATCTACTGATTTTGAGTCTCTGAATGNCAGCTCAGGGTAACATGCCACCATTACAAATACAGCTTGATGTAATAGATAGATGAACTCCCACATCTACTGATTTTGAGTCTCTGAATGTTATTTACAGCAACGATACTAACTCCGGAAATTATTCTATTTATAGGAGATCGATACACACTACAACACCATATGATATCTATGCCCTATTTTTTTTTTGGCTNTGTTATTTACAGCAACGATACTAACTCCGGAAATTATTCTATTTATAGGAGATCGAAACACACTACAACACCATATGATATCTATGCCCTATTTTTTTTTTTGTTACAGGGTGTCTAGACTTATGCCGACTACTCCATCGAGTTCAGAGGCCACCGTGGCATAAACTGAAATAGAACATGTTCCGGAGGAATAGTGGTTATACCTTAAGAGAAATGAGAAGAAATTAAACTTGAAACATCTGAATAATCAAAGACCAAACTCAACTACTGAATCACTTCTAAAGGTTATATCTATGCCCGTTTGGTGTAGTAACACTTGCCTTTTCTCTCTGTGTTCAAATTATTTTCCAATGTATTTGTATACTCTAAAATAAAATGCAGTTCTTATGGATTAGGAAAACAAACCCGCAGGGCTGGTTCAGTGGTCAAATAAATGAGTCAAAAGAATCGTTGATACATAGCAATAATAACTGTTGCATGAAGATATACAAAGATATAACATGGGAAAATGAGAAAAATGTGCTAGTACCTAGATAAGCCGCCTTGACAATGTATAAGCTCACCTTTGATGGACTAGGGTGAAATCAAACTTCATATGAATCACATTGCTTTTCGAGAAAACTGCCGAGCTGATCTAGTTTGGATGTCTTTAGTGTATATATTTGTGAGGGCAAAAAGCAACAGGACAAACACGACTTGGGCGCTCATAATTCCGAAATGGCTGATGCTGTTACCAATTTCCATCCAGCTTCCTGTATTTCGTACCTGTTACCATCATGATATCAGTCAGAAGGGATTATATAGTATGCCACATGGGCTAATGCTTCCAGTCACCTACTTTCAAGCAAAACCGGTTTTCCAAAGCTGTTATGTCAAATTCACTAAGTTCAGTAGTATCTGATGGGCTCCCACCAGAATTTCGTTTACAGATGTTGAATTAATCCACTGAACAATATTGGAAGGGAGGGCTACATGAANTGGGCTCCCACCAGAATTTCGTTTACAGATGTTGAATTAATCCACTGAACAATATGGGAAGGGAGGGCTACGTGAAAGGAACTAAATGTGCCGTGAAAAAGGAAATCCTTTCACCTGCTCGAGCCATGGGGGTTTTGAGTCTCGCCCCATTAGTGTGTTCCCCCCTCCTGTCATATAATAAGTTCTCTGAAAAAAAAAAAAGGTGTCGTGCAGTGCTGAAATCCTCGTGATTATGTGTGGAAATATGTGTCTGCAACTTCACATGGATAAAATAAAGGTTCAAGTTTNTGGAAGGGAGGGCTACATGAAAGGAACTAAATGTGCCGTGAAAAAGGAAATCCTTTCACCCGCTCGAGCCACAGGGGTTTTGAGTCTCGCCCCATTAGTGTGTTCCCCCCTCCTGTCATATAATAAGTTCTCTGGAAAAAAAAAAAGGTGTCGTGCAGTGCTGAAATCCTCGTGATTATGTGTGGAAATATGTGTCTGCGACTTCACATGGATAAAATAAAGGTTCAAGTTTTTGGCTACAAAGATTAAGAAGCAAATGATCCAAAGATACTATCAACACTCCACCATATCAAACTGGATTGGGTTGGCAGGCTCAGTAAGTCATGCTAGATATTAAAGGATATAGCATATCGCAGTCGGGCACTTCTTGCTCTCTGCGTATATGTTCTAATTTCAGCTTAAATTTGTTGAAATGCATCCATGCATTGTTCAATCTTTCTTGGCAGAACAGCAAGTCCATAACAAATTTCGCCATTGATTTGTATTTGGCATAAGTCGGACTGATTTGAGAGGATACATAACTCACTACAGTGACCTCAAACTGGAGTTTTTCCTTGTTCGTTTTCCCAATGTTTTTGGATATGCAACCTCAATTGTAATTTGATGAACACATCAACAGCTAGAGCAGTTATGGCGAAAGACAAAGCTCACTGGAAATATTCAATTGATAGTTGCAACTATAGAGGATAAAATATAGGCCCACAAACATCGTCATTTTGTTACATAAGTAATGTATTATTATCAACATAACAGAACAAACCTTCTCCTCTTCTTTGTAGCAAAAACAAACTAACATTTTTCCAGATTTTAAATCCCAATGCTATTAAGTAAAATACTCTTTGTAGAATTATGAACTGAGAAACAACCAAGAATCCCAATGAGTAATAACATGGAAATCCATTGGGCAAAGAGTAATAAAAAATACATGATGCCATCAGAAGAATAGGAAGATCATACCAGGAAGAAGAAATGGATTGTCATTACGTCTGAACATAATATAACGAGAAAATAGCATCCCAACAATGGAAGTCGGTTTAATTTCGTTATAGCACTAAATGAGCATCTGCATTCCACAATTATGACAAGTAGGACAACTCGTTATTGGGGCAGAAATGGGGCAGAAGCAGAAATAGAAACAAAAAAAAAATTCCACGCAATTCAAATTTTACAAAAATGACTCTTATATTCAAGTGGAGAAACAAACAAACTTGCAGGAGTTCTAAAAAGAAGCAACCTATAACTGTTGGCTGAGAAATAAATTATCATAATACTTTCAGAGAAATATGAAAGACTGCAAAGTGGATTATGCAATCAACCTACGTAACCTAAAATGCAGTCAAGAACTATCTTTCACACAGTATGCCTTCTGAGTTGTGACTGAAATTCTACATAAAGTACCAACATGGTATAGCTAGAATTTGTCTGCTGAGAAACAACTTCATATTAAGAAAACAACACGAATATTACAAAGGCCATGGTTAAGTAAAGTAAAAGAACACATATTTGGAGCAACTCAACTCTCAGCTCAACAAAGCTTTGCCTCAACGAGGAATCTAGTTNAATAAAAGGGATATTTGAAATAACAATACTTATTTCCCCCCTACATTTAAGTGCAAAATATGTAGAATCTTTCCAATTCGTTGGGAATCAATCTTTTTTAAGTTGTTTTGACACAGGCAAAAACACTGTGACCTTTATGAAGGGATGACTTTGCTGCATGAAACTTGAATCAGTGCCTTCAGCCCAGTTAGTGTTGTCCCTTACCGACTAGGACAACTCTTGGTCTCTAAAAAATGCAATAGTAATATTATAATCACCACACATGTCACTTATGAACAAATGTACAGCAAGCAAAAAAAAAATTAAATGACTGGGCAAAAGTGGAAAATCCAACCAACATTACAGAAATACAGATTGCACTAAAGTACCATAACATATCCTTTTATAAGGAAAGCTTCCTGCAATCCTGCCAGTAAAGCATCCAGTTCGTGTGTTTTAGAGATTCACATTTGAACATAAAAAGACAAAAATCTTATCATACAGACTACATAGCTACAACAACCATTAGTAAATGAGTAGATACACTTACATCACAAGCATGAATGGTATAAATAATTTGAAAATAAGTAACGCTGCCATCAGAAATGGCTGCAAATAAGAGCAGATGGTTCCAGGTCAGAACCATATGAAGAAAATGCAACTGGAAACCATCTTATGATATCCAATCTTTTACTTACGCTGAAGATTGTGATGAACCGATAAACAGATGAAATCTCAAAGCTTGCAATACTTGCAAAGTTCCCAGTTCCAAAAAATGCGATGTTAAAGAAGACCATCTAGGAAGCAGAAAACCCATTAGAGCCCTATATTTGAGCATTTTAACAAGAAGTTATAATAAGAAACATGTGTGGACATCATTTTAATTAATGGTGCACTTTACAAGGTATTTGCAACGCAAAAACACGATTACTGAATTGGGTATAATTGACCATTTTCTTGCTTTTGGCTCTTTACACTGAGTCTACATATCCAATTAAATAAATAATGCAAGTGCATTGACTATTTATGCATTGTAAGTCTCTAATTTCTATGGACACATCTTGCACTACTATCCTCCTCTNGTTACACTGAGTCTACATATCCAATTAAATAAATAATGCAAGTGCATTGACTACTTATGCATTGTAAGTCTCTAATTTCTATGGACACATCTTGCACTACTATCCTCCTCTTTTTTTCTTTCCTTCTTTTCCTCATGGTTTCACCCTGGAATTTTAAAATGCAACCATAGCAAAGTATAAATAACAGGGAAAGAAAAGCAAAAAAGGGAGTCCAACATGCAAGGTCTTCAATTGTAAGCAGATACCGAAAAGTAAACATAGCTCACTACTTCCAAGGCACTGATATATAGTTTCTTCATAAATAATAAAAGCATGATGGAACTGAATCTGAACTGAAAGTGAATGTATCAATAACAATACATAAGCTACACATGTCAAAACTTAGTTGCAGGAACTCTGCAAATACTCCAAATGAAAACACACACAATATATGAAAAATAAAAGCATCATATCAGTTGATGAAAGAAACAATAAAAAAGAAAAAGGGTGTGACTTACAAAGGTCAATGGAGTTCTCATGTCAGATAATTGCAGGCATCTATCATCACTTTCAAGAATTATGTTATCCTCCACAGATTTAATGGAACTTGAATACATGTTCACCTTACTCATATAGAGAAGTGCATTCTCAAACAGTATCCATGCCATAAGTGCAAGGGCAAGAGCGCAATAGAAGACAGCTTCATATCTGCACAGATTGGATAAACATGTAATACATTATACATCTGCCTGTAATAATCTGCACATACACCAAACTTTTTAATGAGTCCTTGTATTTTAAGAATGATAGATACCCAATTGATAGAAGTAAGAATGCAGGTCCAAAACCAAGAAATATGGAAGTAAGGCGGGACAAGAGTCCAGTTGATGAGAACAGTGGCAGAACCATTGAAAAACCTACAACAAAACAAATGAAAGGGTGACTATAGAAAAACATATATAAAGATCATCACTGTTAGAAACATACATTTAGCCAGAAATTAACCAAAATTTGTACAAGGAAAAAAGAGAGCATAGAATGCATTTCCATTGGACGAGCTCTTTGACCTTTCTAATACAAAAGCAAATAATGCTTGCAAGGAACAAAGATATAAAATGATGATCTGGGCAAGAATATTTAAGACTCATTACTAATTATGCACCGAGATGATATTCAACAAAAGGAGCTAAGCTAGAACTTTGGGACCCGTAACTAAACACTTAAATTATGGATATAGAACTCCGTGTTTGTTTGTACATGGAAAAAAGGGGCTGCTTTGGCTAGTACAATTACAATATTGTACTATTTATGTTCTACATTTTTGAAGTAGTGATGGTTAGGGAATTTTTTTTTGGGGGCAGGGGTCCAACTGCTTGAGGGCGCTCTATTGTTATTTGGGGGCTTCCCCACCAGTGTATCTATCTGATGATGCGTTTTAACAGACCCACCAACTGATCAATAAATTGTAGACACTATTTATGGTCAGACATGACACAGTGTAAAGGGCCACCTTGAAGATACTGATTACATAAAAATAATATTTAGTCAAGAAAATAAATTTTTTTTTTGCATTTATTCCTAACAAAATATCAGAAATTTAGTTTAACGCAAAAGCACCAATAAGAAAAAAGGACAAGGAGGCTTAAGTTTACATCAAAACTCTGAATAATGGAAGCAAATGGGAAATGTAGAAGAGAGGGAGCCAACATTATACCAGCAATGCACCAGTTTATGAGTTGGTGAAATGCAAGAAGTTCTTGCTTTTCTGTTCTATGAGATGTTGACAACGACACCATCACTGAAGATAGCCCCACCAAGAGCACCTATTTTGATGTACAAAATAATTATATGCAGCTGCTTTCACAGAAAAAATTAAAATATCAAGTCCAAGTAAAGTTAAATAACATTACACACCTGCAAGTAAAAGAGCAGAGGTAACCTAGGTTTCTTCCTGTCACTAGTAAGGAGACTAAGCCAATATTTGTTGTCTTCAGTGTGCAGATCCAGATACCTCGCAACTCCTCCAACCACAATAATCATAAGGCCACTAGCATTTCTACAGAAATGAAAACCATTGTAAATGCAAAAAAAAACATCATAATCAATTAAAAAGTAATCCAGTAACCTGATTTCAGGCTAGTTTTGTGCAACACATTAAATATCAGTCTCAAACAAATAATTGTAAGCGATGAAGACCTGTAAAAAATAACACCCAGATTTCTTCATATTAATGGGGGTCAGGGTAGATTAGGTACAAGCCTAATCTTTGCCATTATTTGCACAAAGTGATTGCTCTTAGGATTGAACTTTGAACCCACAACCTCAAGGTTATTGGACTAAATTTTAACCACTGAACCAGCAGTTCCCAGTTTGAGAAAGGTTTGTCAAAACTATACATTTATACTTTTTTTTCAGATTAAAATAAAATAAAAGACACAAAGGTTGGACAAGTCCTCTTAAAACTTTTGGCTTGCTCAAACTGCACAACAATCCATCAAGTAAAACATAGATTATTTGCAAATGTGATTTTGACAAAACTCCCTTTTCCACCGCTATGCCTAATCCTAATATCTGCATTTTAAATTATAAAAGCTTCCTGTGCAAAGTTTTGAAATTAAAGCGTTGAGCTATCTCACCACCATCAGAGTATAAGGTCCTAATAACTCTTGAGAGAACTCAGACAATAGTGTCTTAGTTCTATACATCTCCAAAAGTACATAAATTTCAAAATGCAAGTGTAACCAACTGCAACCAAGCCAAGCATGGATTTATTATTTATTGAGTCTGCATCTCAGATTTGAGCTTGACCCAACTACCCTCATGAACAAGCTCATACAAGCTTTTGACAAACCGAATAAAATATGACTGCTAAGCTCAAGTTATGGTCCAAAAAAACCGTGTCAATCTCCCTTAAAGTCCACTTCAAATTAATGGTAATCAAACCACAAGTTTATAAACCAGAAAGCAAAGAGAAAAGTGATAAACTGGCTTACACTAGCAGAGTATTATCAGGAATTTCTGCGGGCATCAAAGTAAAAATAGACAAAAACCAACATGCTAGCCACACAAAGATTGGTATTCTTGATTTCCATGGAATTGAGTAAAGGAGATAAATGGTAGCAGCGATCCCTACAATCAAGAAACNGCACCAATAAGAAAAAAGGACAAGGAGGCTTAAGTTTACATCAAAGCTCTGAATAATGGAAGCAAATGGGAAATGTAGAAGAGAGGGAGCCAACATTATACCAGCAATGCACCAGTTTATGAGTTGGTGAAATGCAAGAAGTTCTTGCTTTTCTGTTCTATGAGATGTTGACAACGACACCATCACTGAAGATAGCCCCACCAAGAGCACCTATTTTGATGTACAAAATAATTATATGCAGCTGCTTTCACAGAAAAAATTAAAATATCAAGTCCAAGTAAAGTTAAATAACATTACACACCTGCAAGTAAAAGAGCAGAGGTAACCTAGGTTTCTTCCTGTCACTAGTAAGGAGACTAAGCCAATATTTGTTGTCTTCAGTGTGCAGATCCAGATACCTCGCAACTCCTCCAACCACAATAATCATAAGGCCACTAGCATTTCTACAGAAATGAAAACCATTGTAAATGCAAAAAAAAACATCATAATCAATTAAAAAGTAATCCAGTAACCTGATTTCAGGCTAGTTTTGTGCAACACATTAAATATCAGTCTCAAACAAATAATTGTAAGCGATGAAGACCTGTAAAAAATAACACCCAGATTTCTTCATATTAATGGGGGTCAGGGTAGATTAGGTACAAGCCTAATCTTTGCCATTATTTGCACAAAGTGATTGCTCTTAGGATTGAACTTTGAACCCACAACCTCAAGGTTATTGGACTAAATTTTAACCACTGAACCAGCAGTTCCCAGTTTGAGAAAGGTTTGTCAAAACTATACATTTATACTTTTTTTTCAGATTAAAATAAAATAAAAGACACAAAGGTTGGACAAGTCCTCTTAAAACTTTTGGCTTGCTCAAACTGCACAACAATCCATCAAGTAAAACATAGATTATTTGCAAATGTGATTTTGACAAAACTCCCTTTTCCACCGCTATGCCTAATCCTAATATCTGCATTTTAAATTATAAAAGCTTCCTGTGCAAAGTTTTGAAATTAAAGCGTTGAGCTATCTCACCACCATCAGAGTATAAGGTCCTAATAACTCTTGAGAGAACTCAGACAATAGTGTCTTAGTTCTATACATCTCCAAAAGTACATAAATTTCAAAATGCAAGTGTAACCAACTGCAACCAAGCCAAGCATGGATTTATTATTTATTGAGTCTGCATCTCAGATTTGAGCTTGACCCAACTACCCTCATGAACAAGCTCATACAAGCTTTTGACAAACCGAATAAAATATGACTGCTAAGCTCAAGTTATGGTCCAAAAAAACCGTGTCAATCTCCCTTAAAGTCCACTTCAAATTAATGGTAATCAAACCACAAGTTTATAAACCAGAAAGCAAAGAGAAAAGTGATAAACTGGCTTACACTAGCAGAGTATTATCAGGAATTTCTGCGGGCATCAAAGTAAAAATAGACAAAAACCAACATGCTAGCCACACAAAGATTGGTATTCTTGATGTCCATGGAATTGAGTAAAGGAGATAAATGGTAGCAGCGATCCCTACAATCAAGAAACACCAAGTGTAGAGTTGCCGCTCAGTGAAGCTTTTCACCTGTACAAGATCAAAAAATACAAATAATCCAAAATGCTGTCCAAGTGCCCCACAACCATTCAACATGGCTAATAATAGAACAGAGTACAGTATGTTAGGTAGCCATACCAGGAATTCCAGTATGAAAACTGCCACAATACAAGTCGCTATTAATTTAATGATGCAGTAAGATTCTTTCCCATGAAAATCTTTCCATAATGCTTCAATGAACTGATATTCACTCAATATTTGAGTCCAGAGGAATACTGTCATTGCAGTGTATGCATGATAAAGGGGAGGAGAGCGCTCCAAAAACAGTAGAATACAGACTAGGCCCATTAATAGACATCCACAGAGGTGTACCTGCCACAGAGAACGAGGCATCTCAGAAACATAATTTTTTTGGGATAAAAACAGTAATATAACATTAATGATGAACAAAATGAGTGTATTTGATTGGACGTCCATTTACATGATAATATCAGCCACAAAATTCAATGAAAGTCACAGAAACATCCAAGGTAACATAGCATGGTGAAAGATCATTCAACTAAGTGCAGTCAATAAGGAGACATTCAAGGAAATCCCTAAGAACATGGGATCGGGATTGATACCACAAGGTAAAGGTAGTAATCGATCATTAAAGTCCAAGAATTGTATACCACTTCTAGTCACCCTATTTCCTTGACTAACTAAAATAGAATGGAAAGTTCTAGGGAACTGTACACCACTAATGGTGCATATGGTAATGTATCATTATCATCTTCTAGTATTTTTATGCCTTAATTCATTTATATTATTTTGCTGAACCACTTCAACAAGTCAACAAGAGCTTCAAATAAACAATTTTGGAGTGGACCACACCGTTAAATAGGTAAAGTGAGCTATGTAACAGCAGAGGAACCATAAATGACTAATAATCAGCAAACAGAGACAATTAAAAAAACTGCAGATAATCCTTATCTGTAAATCAGCTTTCCTTGCAAACATATTCATGGAATCATCAAAGAGACCATTGAAGAGGCAATGACTTTCTTTTCATGACATCAAGCAACCTAGCTAGAATAATCTGGAGACTGGATTTTGGACCATTATCACATTCTTCGTGAAGCAATGAAGCAAGCCAAGGTTGTTACTGCACCAGCTTTATGCAACTCTCTCCCCCTCTCTGTCATGCACCCATACACAGACACACATAGGGAACTTGTGACTTAGTCCCCCCCTCCCCCCAAAACACAAAAAAAGGACCAAAAACCTCCCCTATTCTCAGTCTATTGTACTTATCTTTCCGCCAAGAAATTAAATATATATCATACTGAAGTTCCAGCTTATAAACATTACCTTTCCAATATTGTTTCTCAGGTGACTCACTTGTTCCTTTCTGAAGATCTTTCTTGGCAAAGAGGTATAAGATTGCAAAACATGAAGCACAAGATAAACCATCCAACCAATGTAGCCAAGAGTAATTACAGTCATCAGCATCATCCAATCATAAGTTTGAAAATAGTTAAGTCCTTCCAGGGTCAAGCTTCTGAGATTTTCGGATAAATTCATTGCAGCTTCATAGTCTCTGATAGATATCAGATATTCAATTTGATCCAAAACTGAAGAATAATTGGTAAGTGGTTTGAAAGGCTTGAAATGTAATGAACTCGATTGCTTTAACTCTGAGTTCTGTTAAGAAAACAGGTGAAAAAATAGCCAGCCTATTCCATAGCTCCATCCCTAACTTAGTCCGACTAATAAACAAAAGGCAAACATTGCATGCTGAGCAAATAGACAACAGTGCAGTAATGGCTGAGGGTTTTAAACAAGGGCCAAAAATGCACTGACTGAAATCAACAAGCAAAATCAAGCCTTTCCTTTACATAACTTTCCTTCTCTTGTTACAGAAGAAAATAATTAAATAATCTTTTGATTTTGACAATTAAATGATATCACACTAGAGCCAATTGAATAAAATACAATCAAGAAAGCTGTCCTGGATAGGGTCCATCAAATTCAGAATGATAAGATTTGTGTTTAAAAAAGGATACGTGACTTGCGCAGAAACTGGTTGAGAATTTGCTTTGTATTTGCTAGCACTGCTTCAACTTCTTCTGCCTGAACATAAAACAGAATCATTGTGTCACTTCTCGACTGCCTAAATATTCGATTTGAAGCAGCACAAATCACAAAAGGAAATCGGAAATCCGAATTGCATTATATACCCATGATGGCAATCATCTTTTAGTGCAATTATAAAGGCATTCCATCAATGGCAACAGTAAAGTAAACTCACCTCATTAAAATCAATGTAACCAAGGGGCAAATTTCCAACAGAGTTAATAGGACAAGGCAAACCAAGAAGAGTTGACTGCCGAAAATTCAAAAAGCTTATCAGAACTGAATCCAAGGGATGCTTCAAATGATATAATCATGTTGAAACAGATAATTCCAGAAGAAAACAAATTGTTCAACCATCAGGGGTGCAATATCGGCTTGATTAACATCCACCCTTTCAATGCCATTGAGGCCCCATTCNTAGGCAAACCAAGAAGAGTTGACTGCCGAAAATTCAAAAAGCTTATCAGAACTGAATCCAAGGGATGCTTCAAATGATACAATCATGTTGAAACAGATAATTCCAGAAGAAAACAAATTGTTCAACCATCAAGGGTGCAATATCGGCTTGATTAACATCCACCCTTTCAATGCCATTGAGGCCCCATTCTATAGGCGTTGGAGTGTCATGCATATGTTCATCAACAAAGCGAACAACATTGTTAGAATGGTAGCTGCTGGAAGTTGGCATGGGATGTTTAACACCTGCTCCCCAGGCAACAAGGGGAGTATCGGTGTTTGAAGGATGCCCGTCTCCATGACTTCCTATCAGTGAAACCATACAGAGAATAATAAGACAACTATATGTAGACAGAGAACAAGCAAAGTGGAATGTGGCCAAAAATAAGGTAAAGCAGATTAAGTACATAAAGAGAAGAAATTCGTTTTGCACACCTTTTCCTGGTGTAATGGTGCAGTGTAGACTGTGTGGACCCATCCAAAGAGACTAAACTATAGCCACATTGTCATATCTAGAGGAAGATCCACATCTTTTTGACTTCAAGGTCATTTGTCTTCATCCATTCAAGCAAATTACATTCCCACAAATAATTGAACATTGAGGATTTAAAATACTTGGTCAAAAAGTTTGCCATTGTGTAATACAGAGGAGTTTCTTTTCCATCTTCTTCCTTAGTATGGGAGGAGAATTTTGTGTAAACCTTTTGTGTTAAAATATTTCAACCACTAAGGCACGTTTTTTAACAACTAATAGAATTAATTAGAAGCAACAAGTTAAAAAAAGGGTAATGCATCACCCATAAAAGACAGGAAACTCTCTTGGGTAAGTATAAAGAGGGTAAACTTTGGACCTTTCAGGTTGCACTCGACAAGCATCAGACAGGTACATAATAAAAAAGTTCAATACATTTAAGGTATAACTACTGTATAAACATAGTGAAGTCAAAGAATTCCAAATAACTAATTGAGATTTTAAAGTCTCCAACCTTTGTCACTCATTCCATGGTCAGCTGTAAATATATATGCTGTTCGATCATCCTTGAAATAACTTTGAACAAGATTGTAAACCTTCTCAGCAATCCGGTCAACAACCTTAACATTATTGAGATATATGGATGAATAAGGCCGATGAGCATGACCATTTGAATCACAACCAAGTAGGTGTAGAAATATAACAAGATTATCTTCTAGAAGTAGCCGCTCCAATTTGGGGTCTTCATTGGACCTATTCAAAAGGCTCTGGAATTGATCAAAAGACCACTCATCCAAAAAAGATGCATCTGCATGAACACTAATCAATTGATAAAGTGGCATGTAAAGAAACTAAGCTATGAAAATTATAAACTTTCAGCACCTTAAAGAATCTTGTGTATTCATTTTATGCTATCAAATAGTTATAACGACTTCACCCTATCTTGGGAATTACAGGGAAAAAGTATGGTTTCATGATCCAGTCTAGACATTGAATATTGTCATGCAATGATCTACACAGTAAATGTTAGAGAAGTAACAAAGTTTCACTGGACTTTCTGCTTCTTTAAGAAATAGAAACCAAGCTTATTATACACCAACTTGAAGAAAAATAATCGGGAATAGGTTCCCGTTAACAATAAATTGAGATCAGAGGATGTAGGCGAACCAGTTGCAAAATCTTCAAATTCATGAGGATAGGTATTCCAAGTGCTATGAGGCAAAGCACCACAGAATATCGGAACAATATCTGGGCTACCAAAAGAAAATGTATGCCGGCTTCGATTAAATACTGAATCAAACTCCACTGGATTTGCTTTCCATCCTACAAGCATAATGGAATCCATTGAGTAAGCAAAAAATTATTCCCTACAATGAATACACTCCAGGTGATGAGGTTTACTACATGCAGCAATAAAAGAGTACCCTGAACGGGTCCCCATAGAAAGTGCACCTTTTGTAACTGCACTAGGATCCTCATAGAAGCCAGCAATTATAGCAACATGTCCAGGCCGCGATTCCGTTGGAGGACGGGCGTGAGATACTCCCCATCGACCTTGACCTTTAATAATACTTCTTAGAAATGGCGCTCTGTAATTTCCTCTCGAATCAGGCTCAAAAAACTTATCCGCCCGCAAACCATCGGCTGCAGTTATGATTTACCACCAAGTGCATTAAAACATATGCTTAGATTAGCTTACAATCCCAAAACTTACCTAAGGTCTTATATTAATGAAATACATATTTGGCATTAATATACTCTTTCGAAAAAAGATAATCAAAGATGGGTTGTAGAAGCAGACTGAAAAGTAAATGTTATGAATCTTAATGGAAACTTCACAGCCCATAAAGATAAATTGAAAACCTGAGAAGTTCCTCAAGGCATCTAGGCAATGACAGGCCCCATTTGTAAGGTATTTGACAATGCTTAGTAAAGACAAAGCCAAAATTACGGGCCAAGTGAGGCAAAGGGGTATGCTAGATTTGTTGCTAAAAAGTGCGAAAAATAAAAAATGTGACTTGATTGACAAACACTAGAAGCTATGCATAACAAGCATAAACAAAGCAGCTCACAGTGACAAATCATCAAACAGGAGGTGTGTGTGAGTACCAACAAGGAGCACAAGGCGCCTAGCGGGCCCGGAGAAGCGAGGATAGACAGGGTCCATTCCATGTACGATGGGGGTCTTGAAGTAAATGTCGAAAATGCTAAGCATGTACACGGCGTGTAGAACCACACCAAGTACCACCAGCCATCTCTCTCTCCTCTTCAACCACCTTTTTCTATCTCTCGTGCTTGCATTAGCTGGTTTGGTTGCTTCGACGCCTCTCACTCCCAGGATCCCATCACCTACCATGTTCTCGATCCTTTGTTTCAATTCAAATCTCAATCAGCAGGTGGTATCACATTCGGAGAAACAAGAAAGCTCCTGCGACAATGGAGATTTCTGAAAATTACGGCACACGGCCGTTTAGTTTTGGAAATTACGAAATAGCGACAGCACAGCATCAGACTTTAAGATGGATCGGGTACCCGGGTCGGTTTTGGACAAGACCCACAAAACATAACTGAAGATAGTTTTATGGTGGGTAAATTACACTTTGACCACTAAACTATACACTTGATTCACTTTTTTCCCTTGAACTATTAAATTTTTATATTAACTCCTCAACTATTTTGATTATTTCACATTACCTGCAAACTTTTGTTATTTTTTTGGGTGAGAATTATTGATGTGTTGAGACAAAATAAAAAAAATTACATAGTCTGGGGTAAAATAAAATAATTTGTCATTAAATATATAACAAACATTAATAATTTGAGTAATGTGAAACTAATCATATATATTTAAGGGTAAAATATGAAAAATATGATAGTTGAACAAATAAAATAAAAGAAATATTATAGTTGAGAGGATCAAAGTATAATTTTTCCTTTATGAAAAGAGAACTTAAATAACAAAATTAAGAAGCCTCAAGTTAGGGCCAACAACTTAAGTATATCGTGTTGAAGAAATATAATGCCAAATTTTGTTCACTAAATTATCGACCTTCGTATAGTTGTCCCTACTCAAATTTTATGTCTTATACAGTCAAATTCATATCGACCCCCCTTTATCAAAAACTTGTAATCATTAAGATTAAACTCATTCATGTTAATTTTGTGTTGAATAAGCGACGATCGAATAAAGAATTATCAATGCATAACACATTATAATTGTAATTCTAACTATTTGCTAATTGTATCTCCTTTTTAATGCCCACTATTAGGCATGGTCCAGAGGAAAATCTCTAGTCAAATGACGATCTTCAGTTTCTTTTCCTTTTAAGATGAGTATATTAAAGTTCATTGAACAATGTAACATATAAGAAAGGAAGAAATAGATTCAAGAAATGCCCAACTCAAGTCTGCTGAGCATCAGAGCATGTAAACCATTTTGATTGGGTTGCAGCTTCTTGTAACATGTGGGATTTTGTTAATAAGTTACACACAATATATGGGCAGAAAATCGACTTATAAATAATTACCCATGATCGATAATTTGTTAGCAACAAAATTTAAAGAGAACGTGTGCGTCCCGAGTTCATAACCATGTCAGGAATGGGACAGAAATGCAACTTTATTACTGTAATTGAAAGAGATATGAAGACATTTACATCACATCAAGTTGTTACATTACAATGGCTTAAACAGAACACATTACTGGCACAATGGCTTAAACAGAACACATTACTGGCACAAATACTAAGCACACCTCAAAGTCCCTCAGAGAGATAATAACTTGAACACAGACACAATCCGAAACACAGACAATAAAACAATTACAGNCACACTGCCACCAATACTAAGCACACCTCAAAGTCCCTCAGAGAGATAATAACTTGAACACAGACACAATCCGAAACACAGACAATAAAACAATTACAGGCATGAATCAATAGTGGAAACACAAACCACCCCTTTAAGGACAATGAACGAAATGGCAACGCCCACGAATCCGATCAACATCGATTGAAACGAAGCTAGTCCAGTAGCTGCATGAGAGAGTCTTCGACTGGGGCCGGACCCGAGGTGGGAGCCCAAATTTGTGCAGTGACTACCAGTGCTGTGAAAGCAAACCAAATAGCAAAAATAACAGCAGTCTATTGAATAGCCATGTTTCTGATGCCTTGCAGAAAGCAGCTAATTAATTGATGGGTTAAAAAAAGTCAGTTATAGCATAATGTTCCTCTGACTTTTCACCTTTATATATAGGCATTCCCATGGCTGTGGTGAGTTCACCAATGAGGAATAGTAAGCCTTTGCCTGCTTGGTTACCTGTACTATCTATGATCTTTTTCTTGTCCTTTAGGATCAATATATGTATGTAAACCTTGGTATAGTCGCAACAAAGGAACCAGATGGCATGTGCTGAATATGTAGTTGTGACATTGTTGTTTTCTCTTTTTGTTTTCTTTCAATGACATCTTTCAAAGGACACTGGGCCGATAATTGAATGAGCTCAAAAGATTTGCGCTGTTTTTTTTAAACAAATCTAAAAAATCGTTTAAATTTAGTTTAATTTTTAAATGAGTCGAACCTAAACGAACTCAAAATAAGCTGAACTCGAATAGCTCGATTTGATTATCGGCCTTAAATGTTACATTAGATGCATGCATCTATGTAAAGTATAATCAATGGCAACCCATAGAAATTAAGTAAACTTTCAATTCGTTTTAGAGACAATTCTACACTCTTGGACTAACTGTGTGGGTAATGACATTATTTTTGGCTCCTTTGGGTGCGGCAATACCAAAGAACAAGGTGGCACTTCTTTTTGTTGGTTTGTGATGCTACAAGAAGTGCCGGTACTAGGTACATGGTGCACGTCGTTGGATAGATACTAATTGTAGGTAAATTGGAAAATTAGGCTCATTTCGAATTTGGCTTTTTTGGGTGCGAAATACAAATTTGAAAAATGAAATAAAAAAGTTATAATTAAAAAAACCTTTGAAGAAGTCCCCTTTTTCAACGTTTTCTTGGTGCTAATAAAAGTTGTTTTTGCCTAAAAACTTGATGAAAAAATCGTATAATAAACTCGGGTCCAAACGAACCAGATTTTTTTATCTCTGAAATAAAAAAAATGACGTTTTAAACCAACTCCAAACTGACCAATTGTGATGAGATCATTTTTCTGCATAATCATCTTCCACTATTTGAAGCAAAGTAATAAATGGAGGACGAAAATGTCTTGTTGAGCTGTGGGTGCTATCGAACAAATTGGAAATTCCTTTGTATGTATTTTCTTATCACTATATGAGGGTGGAGTCTTGGCAAGGTAAAAAGTAGTTCTATTGTAATACAAGGGTCAGGAGTTTAATTGAGTAATGGAAAGAGTCTCTTCATCGGTGGATAAAGTTACATAAGAATCCTCATAGATCTCGTAATTATCACATGTATTGATTTGTATTGACGTGTATGNAATCCGAAACACAGACAATAAAACAATTACAGGCATGAATCAATAGTGGAAACACAAACCACCCCTTTAAGGACAATGAACGAAATGGCAACGCCCACGAATCCGATCAACATCGATTGAAACGAAGCTAGTCCAGTAGCTGCATGAGAGAGTCTTCGACTGGGGCCGGACCCGAGGTGGGAGCCCAAATTTGTGCAGTGACTACCAGTGCTGTGAAAGCAAACCAAATAGCAAAAATAACAGCAGTCTATTGAATAGCCATGTTTCTGATGCCTTGCAGAAAGCAGCTAATTAATTGATGGGTTAAAAAAAGTCAGTTATAGCATAATGTTCCTCTGACTTTTCACCTTTATATATAGGCATTCCCATGGCTGTGGTGAGTTCACCAATGAGGAATAGTAAGCCTTTGCCTGCTTGGTTACCTGTACTATCTATGATCTTTTTCTTGTCCTTTAGGATCAATATATGTATGTAAACCTTGGTATAGTCGCAACAAAGGAACCAGATGGCATGTGCTGAATATGTAGTTGTGACATTGTTGTTTTCTCTTTTTGTTTTCTTTCAATGACATCTTTCAAAGGACACTGGGCCGATAATTGAATGAGCTCAAAAGATTTGCGCTGTTTTTTTTAAACAAATCTAAAAAATCGTTTAAATTTAGTTTAATTTTTAAATGAGTCGAACCTAAACGAACTCAAAATAAGCTGAACTCGAATAGCTCGATTTGATTATCGGCCTTAAATGTTACATTAGATGCATGCATCTATGTAAAGTATAATCAATGGCAACCCATAGAAATTAAGTAAACTTTCAATTCGTTTTAGAGACAATTCTACACTCTTGGACTAACTGTGTGGGTAATGACATTATTTTTGGCTCCTTTGGGTGCGGCAATACCAAAGAACAAGGTGGCACTTCTTTTTGTTGGTTTGTGATGCTACAAGAAGTGCCGGTACTAGGTACATGGTGCACGTCGTTGGATAGATACTAATTGTAGGTAAATTGGAAAATTAGGCTCATTTCGAATTTGGCTTTTTTGGGTGCGAAATACAAATTTGAAAAATGAAATAAAAAAGTTATAATTAAAAAAACCTTTGAAGAAGTCCCCTTTTTCAACGTTTTCTTGGTGCTAATAAAAGTTGTTTTTGCCTAAAAACTTGATGAAAAAATCGTATAATAAACTCGGGTCCAAACGAACCAGATTTTTTTATCTCTGAAATAAAAAAAATGACGTTTTAAACCAACTCCAAACTGACCAATTGTGATGAGATCATTTTTCTGCATAATCATCTTCCACTATTTGAAGCAAAGTAATAAATGGAGGACGAAAATGTCTTGTTGAGCTGTGGGTGCTATCGAACAAATTGGAAATTCCTTTGTATGTATTTTCTTATCACTATATGAGGGTGGAGTCTTGGCAAGGTAAAAAGTAGTTCTATTGTAATATAAGGGTCAGGAGTTTAATTGAGTAATGGAAAGAGTCTCTTCATCGGTGGATAAAGTTACATAAGAATCCTCATAGATCTCGTAATTATCACATGTATTGATTTGTATTGACGTGTATGGGACGATCGAGATTGTGAAAAACATTGACTTTAGTTCTAACCCTCTATCTATGATCAATCACTTCACTAACGAAATTAAGTGAGGAGAGATTTTATGCAGACTATTTAGTTGTATGTCTTCTTTTTATATTCTTCCATGAGAAAGCCCTTTTTCAGCACTCGTTCAAGGAGGGTCAAACAGCGAACTAGAATTGGAATGATACCTGATCTCCTTACCTCGGGAGTACATATGTAGGACTAATGACCCCAAATGATAACTTCTAGACTAATCATTTGGGAGAATTCCTATGATAATTACATATGGTATCAAAATCGACACATGTACACAACTGTATGGGTTTGAAGGCACTATAGTGGAAGGTCAACATTGTGATTAATTGTGGATCCCTCACGTCCCCACGAGAGAATGAAGGGGAGATTGTGACAATCTGCATTGGTGTGTGTTAAATTCCTTATCAAAAATTTACACGGAAATATTCGGTATATGTATGACAAATGACCTCAAATTATAACTTCTTATCTAGTCATTTGGGGGAATTCCATGAGGTTATTACAATCATTGTTCCAAATCTGTATTTTTATTAATACGAATCTGTGGAGAACATTACACATGAACCCCAGCATTACTACAACAGAAAGCTATAAAGTAATAATCACTGCAAAACATGAACATAAAAAACTCAATACAAGCTGTGAAATATGGTCTTGTAATCATGTCTTCAAAGGCAGCTTTAGCACATTCTATAGTTGCAGCTGGTAACAAACATTCTTCAGTACTAAACCATTTATTTCCTTTTCTTTTTCAAAGTTTATATATATTTCAGGTCCATATATATATTTCAGGGGCACTTGCGTCTGCCATAGTGGGTGGTCATGTCACTGTAGCACTTGCCACACTTCTCCAAGTTGCCATATTGTCCCGGGGGAACACATTTGCACCGGTCACAGCACGTCATGCAAGCCCTCAAGCACAGTCGCTTCCTAGAGTGTAACTTGCACCTCTCTAAACATAGTGGATAGCAATCTGCACCAGAAAATAAAGCGGTCAGTGCACAAGACTCCAACCATTAGGTGGACTAGGGGGAGAGATATGCTACCTTTTATTGTTTTCGGTGGAGGCCTAGGTGCAGAAGTGGGTGGCATAACAGGTGGAGGAGCCGTTGGTGGCTTGACTGGGGGAAGAGAAGGCGGTGTCTTGACTGGCGGAAGAGGAGGCGGCGGTGTCTTGACCGGTGGTGGAGTAGGTGGTGCCTTCAATGGGCTGTGAGCGGGGGCAGGTAGAGGGACTTTGACATAGGCAGTCTGAAGCAGATAACAGATAATGAGATTGGACGTTTTCATTAATTCATGTATTGTCAATAAGACTTGACACAAAAAATTTATTGCCAATAAGACATCCAACAGAGACACTCATGTTCTATTTCAGCAATTTACAACATGATAGTAGAAATATTGCACACAGTTCAATGTGTATAAATGTTGGTTTTCCTTATCTCCTCATTTTTATATAGGTGGTATTCCCCAAGAAGCCATGAAAAATGGTGAAGTTTATATCATCAATCGTGCACTTCAACTAGTCATTTTACTTGATTCGGTTAAAAACAAATTATTGATGCCAAAATAAGGATATTTATGAAAGATAAATCTTTCATATTCTAGTCTCAAAGAGTTGTCAAGATTTAAACTTAAAAAATTTAATTTTAGAGCTCGATCACATTACCACTTGAACTATTTTTAGAGTTAAATAACAACCCCATAATTTTAGACCAACAAAGCAATGTTTTAAAATGACTTAATTCATCGCAACTATTAGATTGAGTTTCAAGATCGGGTTGATCCATTTTTGATCTAAAAGTTGCCTAAGATTTGGTCTCCAAATTAGGTCAAAATAATATTTTTCCATAAAAGTAGAGGACATTGTGAACAACTACAGTGAAAGAACTGGGTCATTGGCACAAAAGCCAGTTCAAATCAGATTTGTCGAAGCACATATACCTAAAATGACCCAAATATAATCCTAAAATTACCTCCATGAAAAGTTCCTCATCTTTCAATGAAACCTACAAAAGAAAAAGATGTCCACAAAGTTAGCAATTCGTAAGAAAAACAAAGAGTAGAGCTCTTCAACACATGTACTTCTTTCGAATTAGTATCACATAAAGCATGATAGTAGAACTCCATGAAACAATTCCACCCTTGTATGAATCTACATCGCATCCAATACACTCTTATTTTATTTTCTTGAAGGATCATATTAATTATACACTGCATTTTAATAAAGGATTCACCTATACACAATGGTTCCACTTAAATTTTTCATAGGGNCATCGCATCCAATACACTCCTATTTTATTTTCTTGAAGGATCATATTAATTATACACCGCATTTTAATAAAGGATTCACCTATACACAATGGTTCCACTTAAATTTTTCATAGGGAAGAATGAAAATTTAAGAGAGAGAGAGAGAGAGATACCGTGGTAGCTAATAGAAGAAAAGATGCAAACATGAAGAGGATAGCTGTGAAAGCCATAGTGAAATAGAACTAGAAGAAACCAGAAGGGCCAAAAGTTGTTTGGTGGTGATTGAAGATGCATGGAAGTGTGGTATAAATAGAGTAGAGCAGTGANGATACCGTGGTAGCTAATAGAAGAAAAGATGCAAACATGAAGAGCATAGCTGTGAAAGCCATAGTGAAATAGAACTAGAAGAAACCAGAAGGGCCAAAAGTTGTTTGGTGGTGATTGAAGATGCATGGAAGTGTGGTATAAATAGAGTAGAGCAGTGAATGGAGAACCGTCAATTGAAATGCCAGCTTTACTTAGATCAGTGAGAGATACATTGGTTATGGGGCTAGGCTCTGCAAAATCTGACCGAATGTTCAAACAACCCACATGCATGCCAGAAACTGTGTCCGATAAATTAATTTATCTATTTACACCAGATTGTGTGTTGGAATAAACCTATTGAAAGCATAATTCAAATGATAATAGAGGTCAATTATAAATTTAAATATTATGAATTTAAATTTTAATAATTTTTTGTAATTAACTCACGAGAAATTTATTCTTTACAAATATTCTAGTATTAACTTGAGTCTTTGACTGAATAGAAAAAGAAATTAATTAGATATGCGCGTAAATTGACTTGAACAACCCAACCATTAAAAAAAAAAAAAAAAAAAATAATAAATCTATTGAACGGCACACGAGGTCTGTCTGTAGAAACTTGTTGCCGTGGCTTCATCACTCCTCTTCTGACCATCCAGGGTTTGGCAAATCATTTATTGTGGTGGGTAAAAATTAATTACCCTATCTCCGTGACCTACCGTAAATTCAAGTAAAAGTTATTGTATGTAAGTGGGTTTTTTTTTTGTTTGATGGTCCGAAGTGTACAAGTCAATTTACGTATATCTCGTATAATTCTTTCTCTGGTCTAGTTAAAATCAGATCATCTACATTAAAATTAAAATATTCATAAATGATAAATCTTTTATAATCTGACTCCAAAGAATTGTCAATNTTAGTTAAAATCATATCATCTACATTAAGATTAAAATATTCATAAATGATAAATCTTTTATAATCTGACTCCAAAGAATTGTCAATAAATTCTTCGTCAAAGGCAAATTGGTACATTGTTTAGTCATAACTGTCAAATTAATATGGCATCATTTGGTCTCTTNATAAATTCTTCGTCAAAGGCAAATTGGTACATTGTTTAGTCATAACTGTCAAATTAATATGGCATCATTTGGTCTCTTAGTTTAACCTCCTTTCTTATTATATATATATATATACTAGTATTAGTCTGTAAAGTTATTTTCTTGTGTAGTCCTCAAAGAAGAACTGATACGTAGAGTTGGATCACTCCACTATATTTTATTTTAATTTACATTTTTCTTCAACTTTTCAGAATGATAATTTACCTACCGTGAATCCCAGACAGACCACCTACCATATATATAAGTGGGTTTTTCACGGTAAATCTCTCACCAATATACGGGATAAGTGTGTTAGAGGAGATATGGATTCATAATGTGCAGTTTGAGGCACGTGAGTTGCAGACTAATTAGTGGTAATTTTAATAAAAAAAATTGCAGACTAATTAATATTTTGTTTCATCCAAGAGCCTAACGCTGTATTCAAATAGCCTCCTAAACTAAAGGCACTTTGATTTGCACCGACCGTGCTACAGTTTTCCCCGACCTAAATACATGTGACATCACGTGTCAATCAACACTTGTCAAAATGATATGTTCCATTAGACTCGTCGACATGAATTAGATACACAGAAATATTGGTTTCACGAGTTGCTTGTGACCCCATATTACCACATATTTTAGAACATCATTCACATTTTTTTTTTCAATGGTCATCAATTTATATATGTTTTGATTAATTTTTTCTTTTGTTTGATTAAAAGTAAATTATTCATATCAAAATTAGGGTATTTATAATGGTTTGATCTCAAAAAATTATCAAAATTCAAACTAAAAATACTTAAATTTATAATACGTCTCTGTTACTACTTGGGTATTCATTCACATTAGTATAACAAACCGTTCATCGTTAAAAAGAAGGGGTTCGTTTAGGAGCGCTTTTTAATAAAATTCTTTTCATGTATTTGTTCAATGAGAAATTCGACACAAAAAAAAAAAAAAATGCAGGGTGCGAGCCTTTTGTTCACTTTCTCCATCCTCGAAATCAAAATGATCAAAAAACGAAGGTGAGCTTGTTTCTTATTTCAACGTTTGATCTCTTATCAGCAAGTTACGTGGAACTCTCGAAACACTTAAGATTAGTGTTGAATTGAATGCTCTAACATTGTCTCTCCGACCACCAAATGCTCAATTTCATTGGAAAAACGGCCCCTGGGTTGAAGATTTTGAGAAAAAATAAAAGGATACCTTTGCTTTCATATATACTAGTAAATATATATATNTTCAAGAACGTGCTTGGTTCTCGAGGGAACAAATCCATCAGTGAAAGATTGCTTTGGATTCTATTTTGTTTTTTGGCGATGGCCATGATTACGGGTGTTCACGGCCGGGTTGGGTTAGGTCCATGATATTTTTTTAGATTGAGTTTGGATAGTATAAGACCTAAGTCCTTCCGAGTTATCGGACCAGTTGAGTTAGACTTCAAGTAGGGATAGGCTATCCGCTACTCACTGGGCTGACCTTGCGAGAGGACATTTTTATATATATATATACAATTTTATTTAAAATGTTTTCAATTTAATATTTTTTTAAATTACATTTTTGACTTAAAAATAGTTAAAATGGAAAAAAAATAAAAAATAAATAATTTTATTTAAATAAAGTAGATTCATTTCAAAGTTTTAATAGTCAACTTTTATTCAAATAATTGGGCAGAAGGATAGACGGGCGGGCAGGACTAGGTTAGCGGGCTCATGGGCTGAGTTTTTGTGAACGGGCTCATGGGCCGAATTTTTGACAGAGTAATGGATTTGAAGGTAAGTCGAAACTCTCTCTTGAAAGATATTGGCCTCGAGTTTAAACAGACCAACTATTGGACCTGTCTGTCGAACTTGAGGCCTATTTTTTTGGGACAGAAAACAATACCCGCGGGCAATCTAACCCACGAATACCCCTAGCCATGATGTGAATCATCGGACTTATATATAGATTCACTGTAATGCACTTTTTCTCAACTTTCATCGATAAGAAACGCACTATCACCCTTTATTTTCCATTATACCTTTCTATTTTCCCCTCTAGGCTTCCAGGCATTTTCGTACAAAATCAAACACATTGTCTTATTTTATGACTGAATAAGCTAAATAACAAATTTCACAGATAGAACAATCACTGCCCCAGTAGGCTGCAACTACACACAGGTTCCTGAGAACCACGTCTTGCCCCCACACTGGAGCTTATTACAATTACATGAATAAACTTACACAAACACAAAGTAAGCAAACATGAAATTCGAACATGAAGTACAACATAGAGGAAATCAAACGGGGCAGTCGAACCTTGTACCATGAATTATCACGAAGTCCCAGTTGTTGCATTTATTGGGTCCAACAGGCACACATTCGCATTTTTTACCGCAGGCAGTGCATGCCTTCATGCATGGCCTGATCTTGTTGTATATTGGCTTCTTCTTGTCATGCTTTTTGCAGTATTCTTCGCATATTGGAACGTAGTCTGAAAATTTTCACGTTGTTGAAAACTATGTTATCGTGTTTAATATTCATTGTTAAAGCTAACACAGCTTTTGCCAATATATTTGACTACATTAGTATGAGGAATTGTGTAAACATTAGAAATCAAACAAAAGAATGCTAATTTTATTGTTGAAAAGTACGAGGCTAAGCATATCAGTACCATGCACAGGAGCCTTCTTTGGGGGGTAGACATAGGGCTTCTTGGGTGCGTGAGTGGGGGCCTTGGCTGGGGGGTTTTCCTGTAAATGCAACAAACACGCCCAATATACAGAACAGTTCATGGTACTTTAGCAAGACTGCAAATTGATAATCTACACGTAATCAACTCTGAATGCTTAACTAAACTTTAGTGATAAAAGTTTTGTGTACTGATTTTTTAGCGTGTCTAACAAGAGTTAAATTGGAGCATTCTCTTTTTGTCATTACACGATAAACCCTTGCTAACAAGGTAGGTACCACTAGTGTTTAAGATTACCTCTGTCTCAGTAGCCTCTACAAGCGATGAAATCTACAATAGCAGAATATAGCAATGAGTACCATAAACATTAATTATAAACACATCAAGGAGTAAAACACAGTCGGAACAAAATTCCCCAGCCACTTGGTTTGGCATGCATGTGTGTGCGGGTGTGATCATGGACAGCGAACTATGTTGTGGCCTAGGGAGCCATGGTCATCCCAGTTTTTAAGAATACCTCTATTCAGTCCCTGTTTAAACAGTAACTTTTCACCCTGGGTGACCTCTGAATGTAAGACCACAACATTATCTAGCTCCGTCATTGAGTGTGGGTGGGTGTCATGGTGCATACCTGTGTGGCAACTAAAAGTGCACAGGCGAAGAACACGAGCACCGGCTTCATGGCCATTCTGAATCAAAAGAGAGCTCAAAGGATAGATGAAAGGGAGAGGAAATGAAGAATCAAAGACTAGTAAAGAGGATTTGTCCAGTGATGAATTAGGCAGTATGAAACCAAGGTTTATATAGGGAAAAAAAAACACAGATTAAACTAAAACCATTAGCTCCTGCCTTAGGGGGCTGTTTGGTAAGGGGATATGAGGGTCTTGGTAAGAAGAATTGAGGGAAAAAAATCTCAAACAATCTCAATCTCAAAAAATCTTAACTAAGGGTGAAAATTTTCGACTCAACACGATAACACAACTCGAACGCGATACGAAAATAAATAGGTCAACTTGCAACTCGACACGACACAATTAAAAGATAGAAAGTGTATCCTTCCTATTTTTCATCATTTCTATTTTCAATCCTCCCTACCAAACAAAGCATTAGGGAGTTGACATTTTCTATTTTACCTTCCCCAGATAAAGTTGATATCAGATAAAAGCTTCTGTTTCTAAATCTGATTTTAGGGTTCGAGCTCACTAGCCTCAATGAACTTGTCTGCTAAACTAATATATATCCTTTCATTATAGAATGTAGTATTCTATGGACCATTGGACAAGGTTTACGCCTTTTAACAACGTAAATCAGTGCAAAAAATTCACGGTTCTTTGTCTACTCCTTTGAGCCGTCTCGATCAACTAGTCAACTTGTTTAACAAAAAAAAAATCTATTTTGTAACTGAAATTCATCAAATTGACCGGTGCATCACTTATGAATCGCCATACTAGACAAAATTAAGGAAAAAAGGACAAAAATGTTGGTTGAAATTTGATGACTATATACCAAATTTGATCTAGTTTGAATGGTATTATCGACGTCTTAAAAGACATTTTTATTTTTGTAGAAGTCAATGACACATTAGTACAAACATCGTATGCAAAGATAGGTGAAAATTTTGTGTTATATATATTCAATACAATTGTAACAGCACCTCGTTGAGATTTATGCACGATCTAATTGGTAGTTCATTACGTGTCAATGTTATCGCTCCATCTATAAAGCGGATTCACCAATTAATAAATTATCTCTTTCTCTTGATTCAAGGGACACACAAAATGCCCTATGCCCAGATTTCAAGGGCTAAGAGAATGAGGTAACCAAAAAAGCAAAAATTAATTAATTACCAAATTCGGATCATAACTGGCAGGGCAATCCTCCTGTAAATCATTTGAAAAATAAACTGTGAGCTGTATAAAAGATTCTATTCAACATTTCAACGTAGTTAAAGTTGTCTTAACCGGACTTTGATAAAACCTAGAATGATGACGATGATGAATCTTTTTGTACAAGATAGAGAGAGGTTGGTTTCCCACAGAATCACCTTCCTCTGATATATCAATGTGGACTTACTGATCAGTTGAGTTTGGTTTAGAAAGGACCATGATCTGAAGCTAGCTCATTTGAAGAGTTTTTAATGACCTCTCACGTTGATTTCACGTCCATCCCGTGCCATGCACATGCACATGCACCGACTAGGTTTTGTTGTTTATTCAACGTTAGTTGTGGAATAGCTGTCCTCTGGCGGAGCCACCCATGGACGAGTCCCCCTAACTTCACGAGATTTTAATTTGTTCAATTCAATACATTCCCCACCGCCGTGTTTTTTTTTTTTTTTTTTCTGAAAATTAGCAATGCATAACATGTATTACATGCTAATATATTTAAATAATATTTTTTTATAAAAATTAAATTATATTTATAATTAAATTAAATAATAAAATTATGTCAAATAATTAATATTTATTTTAATTATTGTTAAATCTAATTATTAACCTATTCTATCTTTTTTGAAATACTTAATCTGTCATTTTTTAAGGTATCTTTTCGATTCCTTTGGACATTTTCATTGTTATCCACAGTGGAGCTTAAAGTTTGTCANTTAAATAATATTTTTTTATAAAAATTAAATTATATTTATAATTAAATTAAATAATAAAATTATGTCAAATAATTAATATTTATTTTAATTATTGTTAAATCTAATTATTAACCTATTCTATCTTTTTTGGAATACTTAATCTGTCATTTTTTAAGGTATCTTTTCGATTCCTTTGGACATTTTCATTGTTATCCACAGTGGAGCTTAAAGTTTGTCATTTTTAAGTATTTACACATATAATTATATTCTAGATTTATTATAATTTATTAACAAAAGGATAGATTAGATTGAAAATTTGTATTCATATTATGATATTGTTGCATATCGAAAAATTAAATATGACATATATTTAATTGTAGAATCCAATTTGGCAGTCACATGTTAATCAAATTCTAGATCATACTATTTATGTATGTGTGTTATATAGTAATTGGAGTTTTTAGACTTAATGATATTTAAGAATATGTGGGGTATAACTAACTTTATAGTAATAATTAGAGATAAAATAAGAAATCAAAACATTTTCACATACGTTAGCATGTATAAGTAGTATAGATATAANCATTTTTAAGTATTTACACATATAATTATATTCTAGATTTATTATAATTTATTAACCAAAGGATAGATTAGATTGAAAATTTATATTCATATTATGATATTGTTGCATATCAAAAAATTAAATATGACATATATTTAATTGTAGAATTCAATTTGGCAGTCACATGTTAATCAAATTCTAGATCATACTATTTATGTATGTGTGTTATATAGTAATTGGAGTTTTTTCACATACGTTAGCATGTATAAGTAGTATAGATATAAATTAATATAGGGTTTTGCCCTTTTTTATTTTCGGGAAATTTATAGTTCACTAACCTCTAAAATAAAATATTTTTATATTTGAATTGATTAAAATAAATGTCAAATGTTCTGACTTGTATAAATATTGATCGAAAATAGTAAATCTCTTTTATCTAATACACTATTTTTTTTTTTTTTTGAAAAGGATTATGTAGTTGCCTTGGATCTTTTTTTTTTTTTTGGTAAGTTTATGGTTTATACCCCATAAAACATGATTAAATGTAAAAAGGCAAAATGTGTTAACCCAAAATATTTAATTTCTCTGCAAGATGAAGTATGTGCTAAACTAATTTTGCCAAAAACATTATTTCATCACATACTCTGTAATTGTGTTACATTGAAAGAAATTAACGAGAAATTTAACTAAGAATCAATGAAATGTAGGCAATTTTGTAGATTTGAGTCATTGAAACTATTCTTTACCCACGACTAAGATTGTGTACATTTCACACTTTTCAAAACTCACATGGTGTTGCCTTACTAATGAAAATGAGAAATATCAAACTAAAGGCTTCCTCTCACTTGCAATTATAGCTCTTAAATATCAAACTACGCTTAAATTTGAATTATTCATAACCATTCATTTATGAAAATAGTATAACTAAACAAAATAATAAACTTTTTCAAATGTCAACTTTTTTTTTTAACCAGTAACCTCTCTAAGATAGGGTCATATTTGACCTATNAAAATAGTATAACTAAACAAAATAATAAACTTTTTCAAATGTCAACTTTTTTTTTTAACCAGTAACCTCTCTAAGATAGGGTCATATTTGACCTATTTTGTCGAATAAATTTTGGATATATATAATCACCTATTAATTACATATTTTAGTTAAAATTAAGAGACACTAACGAGAATTGGACTTAGAACGTCTGAGTTTATAGTTCTTTTCCCACACCAATAGCGGGTTAAAAATCATATTTTACAAAAAAAATAATTTTATGAATATATCCTCGTCCATTATACATTTCCATCATAGTTGATAGCAGTGTTATCAGAACTGGACCGAAGCGGTTGGTCGGACCGATTCAACCGTGAACCGGGATCCTAATCGGTCCAGTNTCATCATAGTTGATAGCAGTGTTATCAGAACTGGACCGAAGCGGTTGGTCGGACCGATTCAACCGTGAACCGGGATCCTAACCGGTCCAGTTCCGCAGTTGAACCGCCTAAGGAGGCAAATCAGCAGAAAATCAAAAAATCGGCCGGGTTTTAACAAAAACCGTGAACCGGCGATTTTATGAAAATCGAATGATTTAATGTCCATTTAAAAAATAAATTGCATAAATAAATTAAATCTAGAGCTTTTTGTCTTAAATCAGTATTTGGGTTTTTTTTTTTGCCCTAAATCAATTCCTAAATCAGTAAATCGCAGTCGTAGAAAGCACCACCACCATTACCAGGCTCCAGCAGTCTAGCGACTTTGGAGGCAGAGAGTCTTCGACTACGATTGTCGATCAGCCACTGTTCCAGCAACCAAGCTCCAGTGAACAAGCCCCCAGTGAGTTAGCGACCAAGCAACTGATGAGGAACTCTAGCGGCTGCGATTAGCGAACTCAGGCGACCGACGATCAACGAACTCCAGTGGCTGCAATCAATGTTTACTGCTTCTACCAGACTGTAAACAAAAAATGGTCTGTGCTTCCATCATACTGGATTTCATNAAAATAGTATAACTAAACAAAATAATAAACTTTTTCAAATGTCAACTTTTTTTTTAACCAGTAACCTCTCTAAGATAGGGTCATATTTGACCTATTTTGTCGAATAAATTTTGGATATATGTNTTTTTTTTAACCAGTAACCTCTCTAAGATAGGGTCATATTTGACCTATTTTGTCGAATAAATTTTGGATATATGTAATCACCTATTAATTACATATTTTAGTTAAAATTAAGAGACACTAACGAGAATTGGACTTAGAACGTCTGAGTTTATAGTTCTTTTCCCACACCAATAGCGGGTTAAAAATCATATTTTACAAAAAAAATAATTTTATGAATATATCCTCGTCCATTATACATTTCCATCATAGTTGATAGCAGTGTTATCAGAACTGGACCGGACCGGTTGGTCGGACCGATTCAACCGTGAACCGGGATCCTAATCGGTCCAGTTCTGCAGTTGAACCGCCTAAGGAGGCAAATCAGCAGAAAATAAAAAATCGGCCGGGTTTTAACAAAAACCGTGAACCGGCGATTTTATGAAAATCGAACG